GTTATTATCTAGATGATTATTATTATCGTTATTATCACTAGATTCTTAATCTAAAAATGTTTTTTGTCCTGACATGTAATGCTTTACATTTTATTTTTTAATTTCAAATCGGTGAGTTTTATCAAAAAAACACAAGAGATAAAAAAGTTTCTAAACAAACTAAGCTATCCAAATTAATTTCTCTGCATGTGTTTGATAAGATTTTTCTTTAAATTTTGTTAACAAGAATGATAGGGGTAGTTTATTTCAACCCCTTCCACTCATTTTAAAAAAGTGAAAAAATTACCAGAAAGTGTGTTTCCATAACAGTAATGCTTCCATAAAATTTCATTAGTCTATCTCTTTTTGTTTTCAAGATAAAAAATAAAAACATTATTTTTCCGCCATCTTTGTACAGCGATATCTCCCTAATGGTTGACTTTTGACCCAAGGTTTATAAAGCAAACTACCCTTTATTTTGAACAAGGAATCACCCCCTAAAGTTTTTCGCATTTGTTTTGAAACACCCTGTATAAAAGATTACTTTATATATGCGTTCTAGAAGGCGTTAGGAGTACAAATGTACAAAATTTTTCTTGCGGAAATGCGTCATTTTCATTTTTCGGACTTTAGTATAGCCGAAATCTGTTACATCAAAACTAGTCTTCGGGGTGTATTTTAGACATTTTTCTAAACATAAAAACACAAAAATGTGTCTGCGGAAATTTTTTATTTTTATTTTACATAAAAAAATGCTTTGACTTTAGAATAACCGAAATTAGTTACATGAAAAATGAACTTATATTTGTTTTATACGAGCCTTTACGAGCAAAGAAATACAAAAAAATTCCTGCAGAAATGTGTCAATGTCATTTTGTGCATTTTGTTTTTCATACATTTTTCAGTTTAGAAGCTTACGGGGTCCGGGAGCGAATAGGGGTGCTGGGTGGGGTAAAATGTCTTCAGAATGTTGCACTTATTCTTGTTTTTATAAAAGCTTTACGTAAATAGGGCTGATTCAAAACAAAAAATCATTGGATCGTGCAGTTTTCTTTTATATTTTAATAATTAACTGTGATTTTGCAAAAATATTAGTATGGTTAGCATTTGGATTGCTTTGGTTAGCTTTTCTTTGTGGAGGGTGTTAAGCTGTGGTTTTTATATTTTAATAATTAACTGTGATTTTTAAAAATATTATTAGATTGGTTAGCATTTTAGACACTTTTAAATGATTTTGTTTCGTTCAAAAGTGATAAAAAGATAATTTTTTATGTATTTATGTTTACAAAAATGGAAAATGAAAATCAAGCATTTCCGCAGGAAATTTTTTATTTTCCTGAGTTTGTAAACGCTTCTAAAAGGCAAAAATATATTTATTTTTTATATAACTGATTTCTGCTATTCTAAAGTCTATTAAATTTCCTCAGAAAATGGATACAGTTTATTTCCGCAGGAAAATTTTTATTTTCCTCAATTCGTGAATGCTTCTAAAAGGCAAAAATATATTTATTTTTTATGTAACTGATTTCAGCTATTCTAAAGTCTTTTTAAAGACAAAAATGTATTTTTTTTTCTAATAACTGATTTCAGCTAAACGAAAGTTGACCCGTTAATTTTCAAACCAATTGAAACTTGAAATTTTTTGAAAAAAATATTGTTTTTTAATTTTTAGTTAAGACACATAATATTTTGTTAATATAGCAATATATGTAGGTAGTAGATTAAATTTACAAGATCTAATTTACAGAAAAGATCTTAGTGTTCTCAAAATTTAAGAGAAAAATATTTTCTATTTTCAAAGTAAAATAACTCTGTTATTTTGGACTTATTTGAAAAACGGTAATGAGAACATAGAAAATATGTTTCTTTTATCGAGATCTACCATCAGCTCTGAAAATATTTGCACTTCTTTAAGACTCGTTCTGTATATATTTTTTTAAATTTTAAAGTCAGAGAAAGTTGGATTCTAAAACTGTCAATATTCCATGGGTATAGTGATTAATGAAGTCTAAATTATAAAAAAATGCAAATTTGAAGAGACAGGTAAAAAATGGTATAAAACAATTTTATAGACCATTAAATTATGCATTTAATTCTCGTAAGATATACAGGGTGTTCCATTTAAATTAAACAAATTATTGCCATTTAAAGCTAGTAATCACTTAATATAAATTTTTAGACACTCTGTATGAGGTAGTATTTTGTTTATTATTGCAACACAATATATGATCAATAAATAAACTACTGTAAATATTTAGTATTGAAAACTTTGATACCCTTGGAGAAATGAAGCCTTAAAATTTATACTGCAATTTCATAAAATTGAAAATATTTCAAAAACGGTTTAAATGTGATATACCCTAATCAAATTTACCATTACTTCAATCGTAGAATCTAAAAATAGTATAATATACCGGGTGTTCCATTTAAAAACCAAGCAAAACTATAATATTTTTTACTTATTTGGGACACTCTGTATCTTGTTAAAATTATTTTTAAATTGTAGCTCTAATAATAGTCCTTCAACGAACCCAAAACTCGTTTAAAAAAAATCGTTTAGCTACAATACTCCGTGTAGTATGTGGCGAACAACCCTGTATGCAATTTAAATACTTTTTTCTTTTTATTTATATAATTACAATCAGTTCTCTAAATACAAGAAATTATAAAACTATATAATTTCAATATTAATTTAATAATGTTACATATAAAATAAATTTTACTTAAAATAATTTGATATAAAGTAAAGAATATTAATTTGTGGTAAAGAGTATCGAACAAAAGTCAGAAAAACTTAATTTAACTTCAAATGGGCCATGATGAGTGCGAGAAGAAGACCAAGAGACCAAGTTTTGATACCGGTCGCTTTGCTTCCCAGAGGGCGTTGCAGAGTGTGAGTATTGCAGTTGTCCGAACTGCATTGGGTACAGTTAAATTGGCTTCCAGTTGTCCTTGCTGGTACAAGACTACCGCGAATTCTTTCGCACAGGTATGGCTCAGGTAGATCACTCGTTTGGCATGTTCTTATGGTGAAAGCTTCATTACCTAAAAGATATATTAAGCCATATTAATCAGGGTTGAAAAAAAAAACGTTTTTTATGGTTTAAAAGAGTCTTTATTGTTTTAAACACGATTGTAACTCGGTAAGTGTCGGGATTGTTTAATAGATATTTACGATACAAGTGAGTTAACAGCATCATTAAGATACACGTGTAAAAGTTGCGCGAGTGCGTAGCACGAGTTGTGTAACCACACAAGTATCTTAATGAAGTTAACTCGCGTGCATTGTACAATATTTTATCTACGTCTAACTATAAAAACATACATTGAATTTTAAAAACTATTGTACTTAACTATACCGGGTGTTGCATCGTCGGACGGGACATAGGAAATCCCATGTAAATTTTAATGAGGTCAATTATTGGCTTCCCTAATTATTTTAAAGAATAATTCTATTTAAGTTTAATGAAGAGCACTAAAACCCACATTCAAAAGATATATATAACATTAGATATTTTTGATTAGGTCGTTTACGAGTTATCGCTGATTTCTTTTTAAATATTTCTCCTTTCTTATGACCCTGTATTTACTTATGACAAACAAAAAAGATAACTGTCAAATGAAGTTGTCATTTCAGAAATTTACCTATTTAGTGCTTTATTATTATTGAAAACTCATTCCTACATCGGAAATCTTAAAAATGTATTTATAATTACAAATTAATATGAATTAAAGTAAAATAATCAATTACAAGGTTAATTATAGTATTATTACAATATTCAATAACTTATTAATTTAGGTACTATTAAATTGTTAGAACTTTAGGATTTAAGATGTTCAAATATTCCTCCATCAACTGCTAGACAATAACCCAGGCGATCATAAAATTCTCTTCTTACATTCGCTAGTTGGTAAACTGAAATTCTATTGCATTCGGCAGAAATAGTATTTTTTAACTCGTCTAGATTTGGGTATTTTTTATCCTTGTATATCCTATTTTTAAAATGGCCCCAGAGAAAGAAATCATTTGGCGAAATATCAGCGGAGGATTGTCTCACAATGTACCGTTTGTGTCCAGGAAGGGTTCATATTTTCATAGATGTCGATTTTCGAAAGAAATCGGTACATTTATTTTATTTCGTATATTTTTCATTTTATTGATTTTATGGAAAGCACTGTTCATTAAAATGTTGTATTCTATGTTATAGGGCTTGTTTCTCTCTACGATTTCCTCTCTCACAATTTACCGATTGTGTCCAGGAAGGGTTCATAGTTTCATAGATGTCGATTTTCGAAAGAAATCAGAACATGTATATTATTTCGTATATTTTTCATTTTATTGATTTTATGGAAAGCACTCTGTTCATTAAAATGTTGTATCCTTTGTTATAGGGCTTGTTTCTCTCTACAATTTCCTGTCTCACAATGTACCGTTTGTGTCCAGGAAGGGTTCATAGTTTCATAGATGAACCCTGTTTGAAAAACGTTAAATTAAATATCATATTTAAAATACAGTTGTCCTTTTTGTACATGACTACAATACAACTAAAAAAACTAATTTTTTGGACCTGGTCGTCAGTGTGTTCGTGCCCTTACTAGATATTTCGAAAATTCGAAAAAATTTTGGCTAGTTTAAAAATTGTCCCAATTTCATTATAATCTATTTTACACAAAAAGTTTTCAGATAAAAGTTGTAGATAATCACATCCTTAATGAGATTGTGTCCTCCGTTTTTTTTTATAAAGCTTGTCATTTTTGACATATGACACAAACATTTTTTTTTAAATGGAAAAATGGAAGTTGGCCATGACTTCATAAAAAGCGCCATTTCTTAAGCTTTTCAGCGATATAAGCTATATGTTTTTTTTTTTCGAAAAATTACTGAGTTATAGCCAATTCTTATGTTTTTTTACTAATTTCGCTTAGTTAGCATGATTACATTTAACGAGTTGTTTATAGAAACACATACCTTCAAAAACTGTTGCAGTAATGCACTGGTGATAGACTCCATCAATCATAGTAGATATCCCTGGATTGATCTTCTTTTCTATCGCTCTCAGTTTGGCTTCATTTTCCGTTTCAACATTGTTGGTACTTCTGATAAAAGAAAAGTAAATGAAATATCATTCATATTTTAAATAAATTCTACTATTCAGAATATTAAAGAAGTGAATATCAAAGAGCTTCTGCTAGTTGATTCAAAATGGCGACAAGAGCGTAAAGCCGTACTTCAAACTGCTAAAATTTTGGCAATATAATTGACAGATCAAAGAAGAATATCTATAGGTCAGAAAATGTATTAGCTACAGATCTACTGACTAATAATTTGACACCTAAGCTATAGTTAGAAGATCCTAGAGATTGGATGCAAATTAATTTAATTTAAATTAATTTTTTTTTTGTGAGAAAAAATGGACCCAAAATAAAAAAAACAAGTACATTAATGCGTAACGCCATTTGTACTATAATAAGATATAAACGCACTTTTGCTACCATTACATGCTTGGAAAGCTTCAGGATTAACTTGGAGAAGCTTGATGTTGCTTCACGATTAGTATATTAGTAATGTATGTTCAAAAATGGAAAAGGTAAAATTTCATGGTTTGAAATTTGATAAAACATTAACATTCCTCGTATAATTGTCCATATAAAATGACAATCTTCATTTCTAAGCCAATTCTGAGACCGTTTTTTTTTATCATATGGTTTGTTTTGCATTTACCAGCTTGAAAATACCTGAATACTCTGAATACAACCCAAGCGGCATTTGGACGTCGTGACAACGTCGTGTCATGCGAACAATCGTCGGGGCGCAACGTTGGCACAACCTCGTGCCAACCTACTGCACTAGTTTGGAGAATAATTTTTGGGTCGAAACGACGTTGGGTACCTACGTTGACTAGCAGCCTAATTTAGTACAAACTGCAACGTTGTTTAAAATCCTAATTCACAGAAATACAAAACTATAATAATATGGCGTCTAAGTCGCGTTTTCTCCTAAATTGGGATAATTATAGTAAAAATATTATTTTTATGATTTAGTTAGAGACATATGCCAGATGGCAGTAAAGGAAAACAAAACAAAAGTATTTAAGTGTGGAGGATGTTTGAAGATCATAATTATTGAAACACTTTAACCACAACTCTGTAACTCGTTACCCAAGGCAAAAAAGTTAAACGCAAACAACTTTACTGATAAATGTATTGTTTCTACTTTGAAAAATACTAATGGGCCTTAAAATTAAAGAAGTTTTAAAAAATTTCTTGAATTTTTTTTTAATATAAAAATGAGAATAATTTATTCGCAGTCGAAAAAAAAAAAAGTTTCCGCGTGTTTTTAGGGTCAAATATTTCAAGTTAATGTATTCAAAAAGCAGGAATTGCTATTTTAGGAACGAAACATTTTCTTATACAACAACATAGCGGCTTTCACTTTGTTGTTTTGGAGATTAAGATGGCGTAGTTCGAGTAGTCGCATACTGGACTAATAAAGTCGCAGTTCAGCCTTAACAGGTAGTATACTAGTCGCAAGATTGCCTAATTTAGTCATCCTAGAGTCTAGCTTGTGCCGCCCCTTATAGGTATTCTAAATAAACGAGGGAGTGGATAAAGTATCGGTAATATGTCGATGTATATTTAAGTTTAGTTTTACATGTGCCTTTCTTACGTCCCATTTTAATTAAGTTTTTTGTATAAAAACAAAAACAGCACTGAACTGTCTAACTGAACAGAACAATGAAGTGAAAATTTAAGATTTAAGGTTATGGTTCAATACAGTTGCAAAAAGGTAGTGGCTCGACGTCCTACCAACGTAAGAATAAGGAAATCTAAACAACGTTGGAATTAGTAAAACAGACGACGTTTGCATAACGTTGGAATAAGTCCTGAAAGTGACGTCGGAAAACTCTTTATTGCCCGACATTGTAACTACGTTGTCCGATCACCTAAAGATCATTTAACAAAAAAGGGTAAAAGACAACGTTTATTCGACGTCGCAAAAGCGTTTACTTTGTTGTAGTACTAGTTCAACGTCGGCACAACGTTACAACAACGTTTACATTTATTTTAATACCCAAGGTACGGAGTTAACTATTTTTTGTAACTAATCCAACGTTGTGTTTAGTAAACATGTGGTCGCAAGTCGAGAAAATGCTATTTGGGAAGTTTTTTTTCCATAACAAGGGGCTGGTCCTCTGCCGGAAACTACTGTGACCTGTGAAGCCTATTGTGTTTGTCCCCTTTTATCTGCACCCATTCTCCTATCCCTGTGCCCTGCACTAATTTATGCAGGTCATTGATAGGATGGGAGCATAGTTCCTCCGGTTCGAGCCTAGCTTTCCCAAATAAACAATGTCGCTTGCGATCCAGAGCCTCACAGTGACATATTATGGGCTCCGCTGTTTCAGGATCTTTATCGCAGAGTCTGCAGCAAAGACTTCCTTAATACAGGTTGAGCTTGTTCAGGTAACACTTGACTAGCAGTTCTTTTGCGGTTTTAGAGCTAAATCCTTGGATGAAAGCTTTGCTGTGCCTGTGTTCCTGTCTATTTCTCCAGTAGACATTCTGCTTTTCCCTGATCCAGAGTTTTAGAGTGCACTACGGGCCATACACTTGGGTATTCCCAGTACTGGCTGTGGACCAAGATAGCTACCTCATCGGCTTTTTCGTTGCCTTGGATGCCGCTGAATACAAGCTTAGGCATTTGTGTAGTCTCGGGGCTTTGTGGAAGCTTGCCGAAGCTTGGCAAGTTTGTAAAGGTAGCATTATATGAAGTCCGTCATCAAGCTAGAGTCAAAGTACTTACAGTAAGGTACCACAGCCTGCAACTCTGATGTTCGCTTGAAAATCCGGATGACTGGCATTGTTACAGTACGTATTTCCGAAGCATCTGTGACATGTTATTACTTGGGATAAAACTAAAACAAATTAACATTTTAGTGTATTAAAGTAATATTAACAAATATACAAGGTAAGTCTTAAATAAGTGCAAATATTTTAGGGGTGGTATATTTCGATCCCAGGTGAGATTTTTTTGCGAAAAAATTTTTTATTTAGATACTTTAAGCTTCAAAATTTTTAGTAGCAGAGCTTGCCGTCGAACATTGTTCTTTTTAGAACCTCTTTTAGTGCGAAGTGTACAGGGTGGGTCAAATTCGACGCTTTTAAATGGAAACACCCTTTTCTACAGGAGGTAGACAAAAACTAATATCGGTGTCTGGAGCTCAATTTTTGTCAAAAATATGATGGTGAAAACCGCATATCGATATCTGTTACCGTTTCGGAGTTACGGGGTGTTTTTCAAAAATATGCATTTTTAACAAATCGCTGTAACTTTTTTGCTATGGAAAATTTTGTATTTTTATGAAAACATTTCCAAAGCACCTTTTTACGTGGAATTTAATGGTTTAAGTATAATTTTTTTTTAAATTAATAATTTAAGAATTATCAACAGAAAATTTGAATTTTTATATGGGACACCCTGTATATTTTTAATTTATTGAAAATAATTTAAAATTACCTTTCCAAAAATAAAACACACTTGATGTTTTGCTCGATTCCTCTTCGAGATATAGAGTATATAAAAATTCGCCCGCTTTAAATAAGAAGGCTTTAAACGGCACCGGCTGTAATGCCAAAAAAAATCTAGCTGTGAGCATCAATTAAAACGAAAATAATATTTGCTATGAGAGATGCAGAATTTTATAACAATTTAAAATATATTTAACCAACCAACACATTTAAACTATATCTATTAACAATAAAAATAAATAGCAAACCAAGACATCAGATTTTGCTACAGGTGTTCAACATATCAACCCTCTTCTGTTATGGACAGACGGGACAGTTTTTGAAAATTTCTCGCGGAATTCATTAACTCAGTGGGGGGGAAAGATACCCTCTCATAATTGCTAAGTATTTTTAATTCTTGTCTAGATTATACGGAAGAATAAGGAACCTTTATTCTTCCGCAAATATATCCATAGGATTAGATCCATGGGCACTAAGTTAGGAGACCTCGACGGCCAATGGCTGGGATCTTGGTTAGCTATCCAATTGTTCTTGAAATTGGCTGCAAAAATTTGCTGGTAAATTCAGCTTTCAGAGGCGGTGCTCTTGTCTTGCTGGAAAAATATGTTTTCGAGTTCCATTAAGGGCATATAATAAGGGGTACAAAGCCTACTAGTTAAAAGTGGCGAACTTTTAAAAATTCTGTATTTCGAAAGGGATTATAACAAAATATCAAGTGTGCTATATTTCTGGAAAGGCAATTTTAAAATATTTTCAGTTAATTAAATATATAGAGGGTGTCCCAAATAAAAAAGCATTTTTTCTGTTGATAACTCTTAAATTATTAATTTTAAAATAATTATACTTAAACCATTAAATTCTACGTAAAAAGGTGCTTTGGAAATGTTTTCATAGAAATACAAAATTTTCCATAGCAAAAAAGTTACAGCGATTTGTTAAAAATGCACGTTTTTGAAACAGTAACAGATATTGATGTGCGGTTTTCACCATCATGTTTTTGATGAAAATTGAGCTGCAGACACCGATATTAGTTTTCGTCTATCTCCTATAGAAAAGGGTGTTTCCATTTAAAAGCGTCGAATTTGACCCACCCTGTACAAGATAACTTAATAGCCGTAAAAAACTCATCGCAACTTTACTAGAATATGTTGAACGGGAAAGCGGTAGTAATGGCTCTTTATGTCCTTTAAGTGATGTTAAGTTTTTTTGATGTTAATAATAACTGTTTATATATTTATAATTAATTTAATTTTTTTTCCTAAAATATTTTGATTAAAAGAAAATATGTAAAAGTGGACAACACTGTGCCTGTCAAGCTTAATCACGTGACTAAAAGTTTATTTGATATGAACTGTAGGTAAGTATTGTTACAGATTTCCTTGCAAAAATTATCCTAAGTTGGCAGGCTGGTTATAAATAGGCTGTGATAGCAGCATAGTAGAATTTACAAAAATATTTCAAGACCTGAACTGAAAAAGCACTGTCTCAACTATTATTTTATCAGCAGTTAAATTACTTATAAATTTATTATAATCTATATGTAGATTAAGAACATTCAGAACAAGTACACTTACCAATGGATGGGGCAAATAAATATAATAAGTCCAAAAATCCACTTCATCTTCGTAATTACTGTATGTCCGACTTCTAATAGACAAAAGACCGAAGTGAAGACGCGAAAATAATTTAATTTTCCTTAATAGAAAAGATACTGGCAACAGATAAGTACTAAAACCAATATTTTTTTTTTAAAGTAACCATAGTATTAAGGGAAATAGACAAGTCATACAGTTTTGGTTGATTTCACTCAAATTATTTAAACAAATAAATATACTTTTTTCTACTTTGACATGTCAAAAGTAATAGGGTAGATTAACTATTACGTTCATATCTTCGCATCTAAACACTATATCAATAAAAGAAAAAGATGGATTTTATTGTAGTAATTAAAAGAGTTTATATTATTTAAATATAATTTGAGATAGATGATATACAGGGTGGCGCACCTCATTCGCCCCGGTTGATTATACGAAAACTGGGAAGGCAATGTGCATAATTTAAAATTATTTTCAAATGTACATGGTATATCAGAACTAAGATCCATACCAAAGTTACACCCGGTATTTTATTTAAAATAAGGCATTTATTATAAGGGTTTAATATGTTTAAAAGCTTTGGTTTTTAAGATATTTAAAGATATTTAAATATGCATACTACTATAATAAAAAAGTTTGTCAACACCTTGTACATTCCTTTTCAGAATTAATTCTTTTGTTGACTTTCAAGCCAGAGAAATAAACTTTACTAAAAAATTGATTGCTTCCTTAAATGTATACAGGGGTATCAAAAATTGCTGGTCCATTTTATATATTTATTTTACATAAAAACTTCGTTATTTCAAATACAACACTATGTATTTTTTTAAATAAATCGAAGTATATTTAAAAGCTCTTTCAAACTATATTAGGGTTTTCTACAGCTATCTGGCTCAGATTTTGAACAAAAAGCGATTTTCCAATAAAATTGTAATCAAGATGGCTGGGGTCGTCATGGCAATTTTCTAGTGACACTTAGTGGCTATTTTCTTAAAAAAAAAATCATAAACCGGACAAGTCTATGTGCCCAATTGTTTCGGCTGTGGGTTCTCCGACTTATAATTTGGCAAAATGGTTATCAAAGGAGTTTGAAGATTTACCTGATCATGAACCATCTTTCTCAGTTAAAAATAATATTGAATTCGTTAACAAATTAAAAGGTATAACATTGCATGAAGGTGAAATTTTGGTCTCCTTTGATGTATCTTCGTTGTTCTCAAGTGTTCCAATTCCACATACTTTATGCTACTTGAGGGAATTACTGAACGCAAATGGTCTTGACAACAAAACTGTGATTGAATATATTGAGCTTACATCGTTATGTATGAAACAAAATTGTTTTCAATTTAATAACTTTTTTGAACAGCGGGAAGGTACAGCAATGGGTAATCCATTGTCTCCATTTTGGCTAATTTATTCATGAGCAGGTTTGAAGTGGAGGCTAGGAATCGGTTTGAGTATTTTCCAAGAGTGGTTTAGGTATGTGGATGATATTTTGCTGTTTTTGACACACATTCAGACACCATAGATAATCTTATTTCTAAAGTTAAATAATCGTTTTTCCTTCCATTAAATTTACGCATGAAATTGAGAACAACGACAGATTACCATTTCTAGATATTGGATTATTAGAAATACTAATAGTTACCTGGAATTTGATATCTATAGGAAAAATACGACCACACACAGATATATTCCTGGCAAGATCCTCATAGTGTTGAACATAAAATAGCTAGTTTAAATTTCTTAGTTCATAGATTACGTAGTTTCCCACTTTCCAACGGAAGATATGAAATAGAAAAGTTATATTAGGAATGTAGCTGAGTGTAATGGATATTCTCCTTCACTAGTTCATAAATTAATTAGAAAACATTGTAGGTATAGGTTAATGATTTCTGAAATTCGACTTTTTGAAGTGGAGAAAGATACGTCTAAATATTTTTCGATACCGTTTGATAGAGACTTTTCCCGTGGTCTAAAAGGAATTTTTCAGAATGTCAATTATAAACTTGTGTTGTGTATAGTGCTAATAATAAATTACAGCAATTATTAGGTAGTAAAAGGATAAAACACCTCCACTGGAAAGATAGGGTATTTATGAAATTTCTTGTAAATATTGTAATCAGAAATATGTTGGGCAAACTAGAAGATCAATATTAACTAGATTTAAAAAGAACATTTAAGCTCAGATAAGATATGGTAAACCGGATAAATCTTGCGTTGCCGAACATATTGTTGATAATGACCATTGTATAGATCTTAATAATTTAAAATTAATTAAACAAGTCTCAAATTACAGGCAATTAGATGCATATGAAAGCATCAGAATTAATAAATGTAAAGATAGTATGGTTGAGGAGACAACGGTCAATTCCTTCAAATTCTTTGTTCCTACTACTCTAGTGGCAAAAATCTAACTGTTACGCTCAGTGGGCTCTGACTCGGTTGACTAGATTTTGCCACGCCCAGTCGGTACCCACTGGGCGAGTATATAAGCGCTCAACTTGTAGATTGTACTTTAGTTTATAATCATCTGCTGACTAACATGGCTAGCAGGAAACGCGCGTCCAGTGTAAAGTAAAAGAGGGTTTTGGTGTATTGTGGTGATTTAGTGTTTTTATTTTACTAACAACAAAATAAAACACTAAATCCTACAATCTAAAACTGCACACTGGACGCGCAGACATAACAAAAACAATCTAAAATTGGAGCGTTTATATACTCGCCAGTGGGCACCGAGTGGCGTGGCAAGATCTAGCAACCGAGTCAGAGCCCACCGAGCGTAACGGATGGGTACCGTGGTAGAACAAAGGCACGAAGTGGACAAGATATCGCCTTGTTTACGTCATACATATGTCAAAATTGCTTTTTATTCGTTATAGCAGATAACAGTTGAGGGTTGGAACCTTTGGTGTTACACAGCAAAATAAAACACTAAATCACCACAATACACCAAAACACTTTTACTTTTACACTGGACGCGCGTTTCGCTAACCATGTTAGCATCATCAGCAGATGATTATAAACTAAAGTACAATCTACAAGTTGAGCGTTTATATACTCGCCCCGTTATTGCACATAATTTTTTAACCAATAACTCAATAATTATGCAATAAACAGATTTTTCTGTAAATATATGTACATGAACTGCAGAGATCATTCTTTAGAAATTCTGGAATAATAAGATTGTTTTATTTTATTGAACTTTGTATTTTTTTATGAGAAGGAGGGCAGTTTTTCCATTTTTCAAAATTTTAATTATTTATAAAATAATTATAAACTCGTATAAGTAACTGTTTGTCAGTGTTTTAATATGGGATTAGAACAATTAAATTTAAATTTCTTTATGGCTTAATCCCTTTATTATATAACATTCGAACAACTCAATTTTTGAAATAATTAAAAAAAAAAATTATTTATATCAAAATTTCCGAAAATTCAAGTAGAGTCCAGTTTAAGAAAACAATTTATTTTATCTTAATATCTTACAGAGATATAAAAATTACATCTAAAAAAAGCTTAAAGCTTCTCGTGTTATCTGATAGCAAAAATAAAGAATACTTAACAAATAATAAAAAGATTTTTTGCTAAGTGTCGTTATGAAATAGGTGTTATTAGAGAGGTTCGCTACAGGTCGATTAAAGATGATTTTAGGTTTTTGGATCGAATGTAGTTTTTCTGACAGTTCTTCGGCATCTCGAAGTACGCAGTCCCTCATGGTGGCCAGAACGTTCCTACCGGGCATTAGAGCTGTAAGATTAATAAACATTTATTTTTAATTTGCATTTGAAAATGTTACATTAAAAAATAATGGCGAATGCGCAAGAATACAGTTATCTTATAACATATTAATTAAAATACCTATTATAAATAAATGTATTACTTCATCCCGCTACAGAAAAAAAAAACTTTAAATGCTTCTTATGAGTGAAGACAATTTTTCTATGATTGTGAATAAAATAATTAATTATTAAATATTTCTTTCTTACTTTCATATTTAATAATGGCACATTTATCTTCTGTACAATTCTTCTGTTTTATCGAACTTAAAACACCGTTGTTACACTCTTTTGTGGTCTGATGACAGTGGTAACATAATATAGCTTCACCTGTAAATTGAATATCAAAAAATTATTAATATAAATATTAATATGTAAAAAAGAGTAAAGATGAAAAATGTTTTATTTATATGAGATTTGGGCCAAAAGAAATGCTTACAATTAGGAGAGCAATATTATTTTTATAGTTATGGTTGTCCTAGAAAAGCAAATCTTTATTGTTTGATCTTGTCGCAGAACAGTCTTGTTTGATTTATTGTTGTGTTATGTGGTTTAATTGTTGCTGACAACAAAAACTGTGTTTTGGTTATTTCTAATTATAATAAAAATTTACTAAACATGTGGAAAAATTACAGCATCAAAGAACAGTATGGGCACAGCTTTTTTCAGTATCAGCTGGTCATCTCTTGATGTAGTAAGGTTCCCAACCGTCCCGGTTTTGGCCAGGATTAACCAGGAATCAGAAATTTTGTCCCGGCGAAAGTTTTGCTAACAATAAGGACTGGAAACTAAAAAAAGTGTGTACTACACACATAATAAATTTAATGTCTAATATTTAATGTCTTGCTTCAATGATTTAAAAGCTTAAAATAATTGTCCCAGGAATCGTCGATGCTCAAGTTGGGAACCCTATGATGTAGAGAGTGTCTTTTGAGCACCAGTCCCGATGGTTATTTATAAACGAAGCTTTAATGGAGTTCAGAACCCGACTTAACAGAACTGAAGGTACGGGAGTATCAATTTATAGGTAGGTACCTTGTTATATATTCTTAAAGTTGGCCAACCGACTAGACAAAATGCGCTGCCAACTGGAGGACAAATCGTGAACATTTAGGGGCGGAGTCAAAATATCGATTATTTTCCTCAAGAGTAATGTAATAATATAGCCCGCGAATAATAGTGATCAACTGATTAAGAAATTTAAAAACGAAACTTTTTTTTATAATTTTATTGTAAATTGTGAATATTTTTTGCCTGTTATTTTAAGAATTCTAAACCGTATTAACAAAGAAATTATTATTTTTGATATGTTAATTTTATTATTTATAATAAGTTATGATAATGCTAATACTGTTAATTAATATTAAAAAGTTACATACTATTTTAATTTGATTTAATTTTTTTTTTTTTTTTTTTTTTTTTTTTTTTATTTATTATTTTATTCTAAATCCAGTGCTTTATGAATTTTACGATATTTTTTTTTAATATTTTTTAAAACGTTTTACATTTTTCATGCCAACTAATTGTAATGGTATTATTGGTATGAAAATTTGCCAAGAAAGAAAAGAATTATTGGCTATAACTGTAATTTTTCGAAAAAAACATATTATACCTATATCGCTGACAGGCTTAAAAAATGGCGCTTTTTATGAAGTCATGGCCAACTATGGTTTCCATTTAAAAAAACATAATGTTTGTGTCATATGTCAAAAATGACAGGCTTTAGAAAAAAAAAAGAAACACAAACTCATTAGGTATGTGTGATTATCTACAACTTTATCTGAAATACCATATGGTGAATTAAAACGGCGTCAGCGATGGCTATGAAAGCGATGGCTATGAAAAGAAAAAAAAATAATTTACATATAAAATGACAACGATCTTCATTTCATAGCCATCGTTGGCGCCGTTTTTATTCAATCATGCATTGCCCAGATTATAATGAAATTAGAGACAAGTTTTAAAATAGCCAAAATTCGTTCTTTTCGAAATATCTAGTAAACCTTGAACTTCTCCGAAAATCAGAAAGGCGCATATTTATGACCCCACAAAACTGCAATTCTTTTCCCATTAACCGACTCTCTATCTCCAGTAGTTTCGGGAATACCCATAAGAGAACATCATGCAGGAAACTCACCCTATAGTATTTAGAAACCTAACTATTGTTATTATTTGAATAGATTAATTTGATTAATAAGACTCGATTAATTTAATTTAAAATAAATTTGATCAGAGTTTTTTTCCGTATATTTTACTACCAAAAAACCAAAATTATATGATAACGCACTTTTCAACGAAGTTGAGGGAAGATATAGTGTATCTGTCACAATACTTAATAGAATTACTACAATTAGAAGAAAAACAAAAAGACAAAATACCCAAATACCTTCAACTTCACCTACTATAAATACAAAATAAACTAATCTAATCTCTTATAAAAACACTATACAACTACTTGTATTCTACACTGAAAAAATATCAAACTTACTAATTAATCAAACAAAAGAAAAAAATAACCAAATTATCCCTTCATCTACTACTTAACAACAAAATAATAAACTATAAAAACACTACTAAACTATTTCTGGTCTTCTACACTAAACATTATAATTAAACTTAATAAAATTAATCTAATTTTACACACTACTTTACTACAACCACTACAACTACAAAAGAAATAAGAACATTTTTTTTTTTAAAACCAAAAGAAACAGAACTTCGATACGTGCAACCAGTATAATAGATCAAACGGACAAAAGAATACTTAAAATACTTTAAAATGCATTCAGAAAGAAAAAATATCTCGAAAATTATCTAAACAAACATTTTTTCTTATCAGTGAAAAGAACATCGGCCTCGTCGGCTTTGCGAAATTTGTCGGGTATTTACAATGGTCGAATTGTATAATTACAAGCTTTTATAGCATATCTAATAGATAAAAAGTATCTGGTCGATTAGTAACCGTCCGACACATTGGCACAGTCCGAAAATTATCGATTTTTATTTTTCTCAGTTTTATTGGTCGCTTCAAAATTCAGAGTAACAAAAAATATTTTTCTGTAGTAAAAGACCGTGAAATACGCCCCGCCATCAGGTGCTTTACATCCATAAATGTCTTAGGTTGAGCTACTTTAAAAATTCATATACAAAGGGGTAGGTATATGAAGATTTCTAGGAAAATGATTGGCAAAAGTCGACAGGCTGGTAATGAATAGGTTGTTATATGGTCTAAATAAAAGATTCTAAAATAATTGAGGAGTTTGGGAAAATCATCAAAATGTAGGCGTAGTTTACACAGCATAATTTATGATCAGCGACACTTACATATATCTATTTTTAAGTGTGCCAAATGCATCTTTCAAAAATAAACATTATCTATATTTTACATAAATATAAAAGTAGAAAAAAAACGTATCATACCTATCTACATCAACTATAGATGAATGATTTGGATTTGATTAGATTATTGGTGAAGAAATTAATTATAAATTTATACCTGGTGCGTCTCAAAAAGTGGCTCACCCCTATTTTTTTTTTTTTTTTATTTTCAGATAAAAAAAACGAGATTTGGTATGTTAGTATATGACATAAGTAGGATTGATTGACATATTCAAATGTTCACCGGGAGTGACGATTATTCGATAGAAATGACACTCTGAATAGAATGACATATCATATGTCAACTTTTGACATATTCGCTCAAAACAAAATTGCATTTAAATTTCAATCCTAGAGAGTGCCATGGCTGTTTTATAAACACTAATTTTTTAATGAAGGAGGCCTTGGAAAATAGATTTGATCGCCTAATGTTTTTAGTGTGTCTTGTTCTGGTCGGTTCAAAGATGCCCAAAACGTATTTTAATCATATCTCAATTTTTTCAAATGGAACGAGGTGGCTCATTAGCATATTTTTAGGAAAAAAAATTTACAAATAATTTGATACCACACACTTGGTTGTTCGAGGTGTGAAATTTTCGTTATGAACCACATGTTATAATTTCAAATAAACCACCATATCGCAGAAAATATCAAAAGTTGACATATGATAATATTTATGTCATTCTATTCAAATTAATGCATTTCTATCGAATAAAGTAAAAAAAATACCGAGGGTGCCATTTAAAAATCAAAAGTAGAAATTTCCGGTGAAACAGGAAGTGACCGAAAACAGTTGAATACGTCAATCAATCCTAATTTATGTCGTATACTTTATCTCGTTTTTTTAAATTAAAAAAAGTTATAGAGGTGAGCCACTTTTGAGACGCACCCGGTATATAACACTGATGAAGGCTGTATTGAGGGCCGAAACGTTTGTCTATAGACTAAATAAAAATTTTTAAACAAGATAAAAACATAATTTCAGTGTTTTTGGAATCTAAATGTCTCAAGAAAATTAATTTAAGAATATATCGATACAAGGTTCAAGAACTAAAAATTTCCAAGGATACTTTTTGTTAAATATTAATTAAATTAATTTTGTTAAATATTAATATAATGTTTTTGTTAAATATTAAATATTATCAATAATTGTTTATTGTGATATTTTTTAAAACCACGATGGATATATGGAATTTGAAGATACTTGAAGTGATTGTAGTTTTTTTTAATTTACAGATACCATAGATACAATCGAAAAAAAAACGGCGTCAAAGACAGCTGAGGAATGAAAATCGATAATAAATATTGGCGAGGTCAAGCTTTATAGACGTCATTTACTTAGCCCGCACTCCCGCAATCTTCTTTATTTTATAATGGCGCTTGCTCTCAGCAGAAAGCCTTAAAAAGTTTGTAATTTATTTTTATATTGAGTAACAATTATTTTTAAGCAGTGTAGTTAAAATTAAAAAAACGTATTTTTTTGAAAATAGATTAATTTGTGAGTCTGCAAACGTTCTATCTTCCTATAATTAATGTTAATTTTTCACAAGTTTTATGTCAATTTTGAGTAAACGACATCTAGAGATTGACCTCGACAAAATTATTTTCGATTGTCATTCCCCAGCCGTCTTTGACGCCGTTTTTTCGAGCATAACCTGATTGTTTCCTTCAAATGTCTTCTTATTCCTATAAATATCGACTATTAAAAGTTTAAAAAAAATCACATAAATAAAAACTTAACACTTTTAACTTTACCTGCTGGAATATAACTGACAGTAGTTAAAACTATCAACACATAACTAAAAACGTCCATATTTCCCTTAAATAATACCCTTATTCAACACTTCAAACTCTTGTCCCACTTATATTTATAAGATTTCTTCTTCCACAACACTCAATCTCGACTTCATATTCCGTTTGTTCCTGTCCGACATGATGGAAACATCGCGCTCTAGTGCTGTCGATCCAGTAAAAATCAGCAATTCGCACGATGCCCGATTATTTTGGAACTCCACTCGGATTTTCCAGAGCATACAACAGCGATAAATCCACCGCACCGTCCGGAGATTGGAGTAGATTCCTTTTTGGTTTATTTGTTTGTATTTCTTGCGGGAGGGACATGGAGGGGACTTGGCAACGATGTCCTGCTTTCGCGCAGCGAGCGAGTCTTTGACTTGGGAGATATATTTTGACCTATTCAAAAGAACAATCTGTATAGATAGTTAAAACAAAAAAAAACAAGTGTAGTTAGCTCAAAAAACTGATAAAATCTTAAAAACTAATATAAAATGCGTTAAAAAAATTATAGTTGATTATTGATAATTTAGAGCAACAAAAAAATGTTGAAGGCAATACACCTACAGAGTTGTTCACCACATCCGACACGGAGTACTTGTAGCTAAACAATAAGATTTTTACAAATTGTAAGTTTTGGGTCCGTTGAAGGACTATTAGAGCTACAATTTAAACATAATTTTTACAAGATACAGAGTGTTCCAAATAAGTAAAAAATATTATACTTGTATTTTTTAAATGGAATACCCTGTATGTTATTCTATTTTAGATTATACGATTGAAATAAACGTAAAGTTTGATTAAGGTTTATCACACTTAAACCTTACCTTTTTGAAAATATTTTCAATTTTGTGAAATTGCAGTAAAAAAATTAAGACTTTATTTCTCCAAGGGTATCAAAGTTTTTAATATTAAATATTTACTGAAAATTACTTATTGATCAGATATTGTGTTGCAATAATAAAAATTATACTATCTTATACAGAGTGTCCAAAAATTTATATTAAAAAATTACTAGCTTTAAACGGCAATAACGTGTTTAATTTAAATTGAAAATTTAAATGGAATTTACAAAGATTTACATAGTTTTTTTTTCGTAAACAAATGGACATGCAATATTATTATTTTTATCACCTGTATATTTTGTACATATGTCGCTCTCAAAAAAATCTAAAATGTCAATATTCCATAGGTATAGTGATAAATGAGGTCTAAATTATAAGAAAATATATTTTCTACGAAAACTTGAAGAGAGATATAGGTAAAAAATGGTATAATACATTTTGATAGACAATTAAATTGTGCGTCTGATTCAGGTAAAATATACAGGCTGTTCCATTTTAAATTAAACAATTATTGCCGTTTAAAGCTAGTAATTATTTAATATAAATCTTTGGACACTCTGTATAAGGTAGTATACTCACAATACTCCGTCTCGTATGTGGTAAACAACCCTGTATAGTGTGCTTCAATATTTTTGTGACGTGAATATACATATTTTACATTTTATCTTGAGATCATTTCAGGGTTTAAGCATCATTTGACAAGTACTTTAGAGTTTCTACTAGTTTACTAGAATCAACCATTTTAGATGTATACTTTTTGTTTGATGGTAGTTAGTTATTAAAATAATAAATTGGTTACCAGTTATTCTATGTGGCCACAAAATAGTGAGTGGTTCAACAAATTTCTATATTCGTGGAAAAAATAATCAAAACATGTAAGCAAAACAGGAATCTCTAGAATATATTCTATACATATATTCCCTGGCAAATGTACTGTTCTCGGTAACAGACAGACCATTGTCAGAGAGCTATAATATGGAGGGTTCAGTGTCCAAGGTGCTAGACTTTTTGACAAAAAAAAAATAAGACTGGAGAATGTAATCTCAGATCAGAAGAAGATCACGGGGAGACATTATGAAAAGGTGAAAAAAACAAGATCGCAAGAGCCTTGCATGCTGGGTCTTGGGCTTGCGTAACTCTTGCACTTGTCGGTCTTGGTCCTGGTAGATCTAACACTATATAGTCTTAATTTTGGCCTTGGAGCTGCTTTTTGTATAAGTCTAAGACCCACTACCGCTCTAAATAAGTAATCCATACTAGAAATATTCTTTATTAATCTGAGTAAGGAATAAATAAAATGTGGAATTTACTAAAATCAAATCCTAGAGCAGTTTACACGGAATATTCCATTAGGAAATTAAACATATGGCTTCCGTACACTCATTAACTCGCTAACTTTAATTACAACAATTCGTTCTGACTTATAGATGATCACGTGGCTTAGTTACTCTACGATTTATAATTTGGATAGACGGCTGGTTATATTTAGATTAACTGAAAACAGTTCCTGACCCCCGAATAGAAAATAGAATCTCAATTAATTACCATTTACAGTGGCGGTCAGTGTTTTTATATAAAAAAATATATATAAATAAAAAGTAAAAGAAAAGTTATAAACACAAAAAAAAGATAATATAGACATTATTTAAATATAAAGTAAAATTAGGGATATAATAAGTTTGTTCTCACAGCTGTAAGAAACATATTTCCAACAGATAATCATGCGCAGGGTAAAACGCGTTCGCACAGAAATTTTTGATTGGTTTCCAACCATGATACAAAGAATACAAGGTATGATATTGCGCAGGTTGGTCACTACGTCACAGGTGATAAACGGCACCATTGGTCGGCAAGCTCTGCGCGCCAATTTCAAATTGTCAAACAGATGACATAATAAATGTGAAAATAATTTTTCAAGTGTCAAGCTCGATGATTTAACATAACTTTTGGGGTTATGTCCTAATTCTTCCCTATTTTAGGTCTTTTTTTATTAGTGGCAATTGGACAATATGAATATTTTTTTGTATGGCGTATGACGTCACAGGTGGTATACGCAAAATTAACGAAATTGGAGCCGCTATCGATCATACCTTGTTTTCTTTGTACCATGGTTTCCAACCAACAGTATGCTGTTCACACAGAAAATTCTGATTGTTAACTGACGTAGCTGACAGTCAGACCTGTTCGCGGATCTTTTGCAAGTAAAGTGTCCAGCGCATGAGTTTTGCGACCCAACGTCACACACATTACTTGGTAAACTTAACCTACAAAACGTGTGTTGTTTTTGTTTAGTGTTTTTTTCTTCAAAACATAAAGAAAATAGATGAGCGATTTTGAATCTTCCGAAGAATATGAGGCGTCCGAATTTTCAGATACAGACACAGACCTAGAACAGCTGATGGAGGAACGGTTAGGTTGTAGAAACAGGCCGAAGAATCAAAATTACAAAACATTAAAAAGAACAAAACCAAAAACATTAATATATGTCTTTGGTTAATTCCCTGTTCGTTTTCTTCTTTATTCGGTATTACGTAGGAGTTAAAATTAGTTGTATTATTAGATCAAAAAAGAAGAGTAGGGTATTCGCTGTTTGCACAGACAGTTTGAAATCGATCAGAAACTGCATTATTTCAGACCTGCGCATTAACACCTGTTTGGAAGAAGTCACAAACATGTTGGGAACACGCTGTGAGAACAAACTATGGAGTCTAAAAGCCTATTTTTAAGCCCTCCATAGAACAAACCTAATATACAGTACGTCTGCTGAATCTGTGTCTATGAAAGGAATGCGGACAAAAAACATTTAAATAAACAGCAATATATTTTATACGTCGACTTGACGAGTCGTCACCGCAAATCGCTCCGCCCACTCATTTTATTGGCTACTTGCAAATTTGTCGAATTTTTATTCATGGGACGCGTCGTCTAATTTTTTACGAAAAACATCGAGAGAATATCGTTTCCCCTCTCGCGGATACCCCGTAGCTACAGAACGGACAGACGTACTGTAGGTTAGTTAGTTTAAGGTTAGTTTCTACTTTATTTTTACCAATGACTAAAGAATACAAGGACATGTAACGCCCATATACGGGCTGCAGCAGAATTTGTTACATTAGACGCCATCATATTGGAGCCTACGGATGAGTCACCAGTCACCACCTCGTCAACAGCGACAATTTTAGCGATTTTTAATAATTTGTTGGGTGTAGTGAACTTTGTATAAACTTTATTACAATGGTGATAAGCCGCAATGATAAGAAAGAGCCAAGTTTTGCGTTTCATAAGTAACTAAACAGTCCATTCCACCTTTTTACCGTTTTCTTATTGAATTTGGTAACTATTTTCTGATATTATATGTACCTACTTGATATGTGCTAATCGTCGATACTAGTTTTGTACCTTTTGTTAACATTTTAATACGTTTTTTTCGTAATTAATTAGTATGATACCACCGCCTACACCATAGACGTAGTCAAAACATTTGTCAAAAATATCTCATTAAGCAGCTAAGTTAAGAAAAATATATGGCCACGGCACTGTTTGGAGCCATGGTAACAATTTGGTCTCGGGTGTTATATATTCTTGTATTCTTTAGTCATTGATTTTCACCCTGTGTATACACGATCATAGTGCCACCACTGAAAGCATTTTAATCCATTAGATTTGTTTACGTTTAGGAAAGTTTATAAAATGCGATGAGTGCGGTTTTTCATTTTTATTTTCGCTGAAATTTATGTTGGAAATGTTTAGTTGAAACCGGTGAAAGAAATATTGGCATATTTAAAATTCGGTGTTGCTCATGCTGTGGTATTTTATACAAAGCTATTTTTAAAAATTAAGAAATAGTTTAGCAAACATTTCTCAGCCTCTGATGCAATCTACTTATATCGTCACTGAGTAAAAAAACAATTAAAAATAAAAATTTCTGTTTTTTTTTCAGTAAAGACGCACTGAATTTAGGGTCTATACACTACGAATACATTTTTAAATATGGGCTAATACTTTAACACAAAATAAAGTAGAACCAGAAAACTTTAGTACGTTTTCTGAATGACTAGATGATCTTGGAACTCTGACAGAAACGAACAGATTTAAATTATTGTCAAGATATATGTAGCGACATCTGTCGGAGAAGTGAATAAACCACAAGTGTATTGCTGGTTGAGGACTATCTGAGGCCATTGTTGTTGAGGCGCCATCTCTTAACCAAGTAGAAAAGTAAGCGAATCAGGCGGCAGAATTTACTGGTAGGAGGCAGAAGGATACCGATAATTTTAGAAGGTTCCAGAAACAGTCAGTAGGGTATATAAAGGCGTGCAATCGACAGTTGAGCAGTTTGAAATTTGAAAATACACCGTTTTAAGTTGTGAATCGTGTCAATTTGGCGAAGGAGTTTATAAATAGTTAATTGTGTGTTGTAATCAGTATAAAATGTGTGCATATAATGAGAAAATAAATTCATTAAGTATTTAATCGTGAGTTTAAATTATACTCTGTTTTTTTTCTCAGGTAAGATTTCGACAGACGATGACAGAAGAAAAGCAGATGACGTCCCATACCAATCTATTTATTTTACTAAAACAAGTTTCTAATCATTTTTAAGTTATCTATGGATGGGTTTAAATATAAATCCGTCATACGTCGTGTCTTGTTGTTTTTAACCAGTTTTATTGGTTTATTTAAAAAACGACAGATCGTATTTCAATTTTATTGGTTTGACGGAACGATGAACGACAAACGGACGCCGATGCGTATGAACTCGCTTTTAGATTTTTGTCATTTTTGACGCTTGTCAAAGTTTTGCCAATTTATAGGTTATAATTTTGTGTCAACTTTTGTTAAATACCCTGCGTTTTGGAAGATGATGCATTTTGATTCGTATTATTACGTGTGTTTTGTGTCTTTTGAAGTCAAGTGGAGGAAAAATCGAGTGAAAATTAACTGTAGACCCAGAGCACAGTTTATGTTTAATACTCGCTGCCCAGGCAGAAAGTCTTATACACCAATGAAGTTGCCATCGATAAAGTTTGTATACCATTTCGTCGTAGATAAGTGCATCTCGTATATGGTAGAAGGATCAAACTAAACACATACTAAAAACTGGAGTAGCTGTAAAATATCGAAATCACACGATAGGTAAATAATGGATTTTAGTACTGCAGAAAAATAATGTCAAAAGGTACTGGTTTAAAAAAATTAAGATTAAAGTTAATTAATCAACCTTTAAGGTATAAAATTTGGTAGGTGTTATTATTAATAAAATAGTTTGTTTTATTTACCTATGTTGTTTTATTTATTCCTGTGGAATATTACAAATTTGTATATGTACATAAGTTATATTGATAAATATAATCATAAATGCGGGTAGTTTCATAAAGCTTGAAAGTAAATAATAGTTCTTTTTATATTTTTTTGGTATGTAGTGTCTTGTTCTTGTTTGTTTTGTATTAACACATACCGTTTTATTAAATAAAATAACTCGATTACATTTTTCAATTTTATACAGTTTTTCATAATATTTTGAAGTAATCACTTGTCATCTTGTCAATCAAATTTTAAATATTTCCTGCTATGCGTTCCAGTTGTACCAACTTATTTCTTTGTAAAATAAAATAAACTACTTTGAAATTAAAATGACAGACACATCTATCACTGTCAAGGATCTTCTCGTTGGACAGACTATAGTGGACCCACAAAATTCGTAACATTATTCTATTGTGAACAACGGGTGCATATACGAGTTTGGCAAGACGACATTCAAAAAATTACAGAAAAAACAATCTGCTTTTGAAATAAAATGACAGACCACACCTTTAATTATGTTCCTGGATAATAAACTATATTAGGCTCTTATCTCCAAGTTTACTAAAAAATGTAGAATCCCAATACAATTTATTATTATATTATTTGCAACTTAATAACTTACAAAGCTTAAAAAATATAGTATCTTTTATTAATTATTTAAAACAAATTTTTTGTATCTTATCAGACTATCAACAAAGTTACGTGTTACACTCAAAACTGTTACAGGTGGAACACTTAAAACCAGCTACGAGGCCTTCGATTATCAAGGGCTGGAGTAGTTGCATATTGTATTCACAAAATGTCAGATTGTTTGAGTCAGCTGCTGTTCCTCCAATATACTCTGGAGCACATGATCTGTACACAATGGATTCGCCTAAAAGAAATAAATAAATATGTATAAAAGATAGTGTATTTCTCTCTTGAGGGCGCGATTTTTAAAATCATTGTTGCCAACCATGAACTCGGCGCCGCGCCGTGCTCACTACGTAGACAAGGAAAGAGAGGGGACGGGTAACACGCATATTCTTCTGTGATCGGTTTGTGAGGCCAAAATTCGATCGGCGGCCATACTTTGGTGACAAGATTTCGACGTGACACCGAGAGAATTTTGTTTTTTGTGACAATTGTTTTGTTTTAAATTTATAAACTGTATTTCCTGTAAATTCAGTATGGTGAGATGTTCAGCGTACGGCTGCAAAGGCCGAAGCGAGAAAAAAGTGGCTGGAATTACATTTCACAGGTAAAAATCGATACACAACTTTTGTTAGGTGGTCATAAAATGTACATTTTTTCATTATATAGCAGTAAAAATATGTAAAATGCTTTTAATATGTCTTGTACCATATCCAAACCAAACTATTTTTAATAATTCCAAGTAGTATTTTCAATATCCTGTATTATAATTAATGTTTGAAACTATAAATAATGCTACTACGCTACTGGAGAAATTCCCTACGCCACTGGAGAAATCCATGCTGAGTAGCATTATTTATAGTTTCAAACATTAATTATAATACAGGATATTGAAAATACTACTTGGAATTATTAAAAATAGTTTTGTTAGGATGTGGTACAAGACATATTAAAAGCATTTTACATATTTTTACTGCTGTAATGAAAAAAATGTACATTTTATGACCACATAACAAAATTTGTATGTTGATTTTTACCTGTAAAATGTAATTCCAGCCACTTTTTTCTCGCTTCGGCCTTTGCAGCCATACGCTGAACATTTCACCATACTAAACAACACAGTTTATAAATTTAAAACAAAACAGTATTCACAAAAAGCATAAAAATTCGCTTGGTGTCACCTCGAAACCTTGTCACCAAAGTATGGCCATCGATCAAATTTTGGCCTCAAAAATTTTTCCCTGATGAATATGCGTGTTGGCTGTCCCCTCTCTTTCCTTGTCTAAGAGTTGCCGGATTTATTTATTTATTTCCTGATATTGTCAATCGTTTTGACACTTTAGTTTTGTATTACGAGTTTTTGTTTTAAATAAATAATTTTGTAATACTTTAAGATTCAAAATGTTTACTAGCAGACCTTGCAGTCGAACATTGTTTGTTTTAGAACCTCTTTTATGCGAATTGCGAAGTGGTACAAGATAGCTTAATAGCCGTAAAAAACTCTTTACTAGAATATTGTAAACGGAAAAGCGGTAGTTAAGCTTAATCACGTGACGTTATTGGTATATTGGCTCACATGATCCTCGTTTTACAACCATAGCTGACACTGTTTTTTTTGTATATGTATTGTATTAATAGGCATTGGTTATAGAACAGAAATTGTTGTATAGTTTATTGTTTAATAAAATGTAATGTTTAAAATAAAATCTATTAATTCTTACCGTTCAATAAGTCAATATAATATTTGGCACATGAATGTGACAAAGTTCCTCCACAGGTTTGTGATTTTAGAACAGCCGCATCAGACAGGTCCTTAGGACAATTTATTGAATCATGATCTTCGCAAAAGTAACAAGTTAGGGCTTGGGTACCTTCAAAACAATATAAAAAATATAAGACACCTTTAGTAAATACCATATTCAAACGTAATAAACCTCAAAATAGCGTAAAAATAAAAGATGTTAATTTTTTTGAAAATTTACCTGCAACAAATAGGTAAACAATTGCAAACGAATACAAGACTCCCATTTTTTTCATTGTTCTGATTTTGTACAAGCTATTAAAAATATTGGTGTATTTTTTTCTTAAACTTACAGTTATAAACAATTAAGCCACCCACTTGAAAGAAATTGTCGAAATTGATTAGATTATTTTAAAAAAAATTATTAGTTCGTTTGATTTCACTGATTTCGTTTAAAAACATTTGCTAGACAAATATTTATTTATATCTGATAATGCAATACCAGTGTTCGGGAAAACACGTTTGTATACCAATTTCTTTCTTGGAATGAATATGTCTTACATTTCCTGTTAACAAAAATATCTTGGTATATCCATATTCCATTTTATAGAGTCCATTTCATTAGTTCGAAAAAATATCAAAATAAACGTTCGGCATTTAACGTTTTATGTACAACTGGCTAGGTATTTTTACACAAATGAAGAAGGAAATTAAATATAAAGGATTATACTATATCCGTATTGTAGCACATTTTTAGACAACTTCTTTATTTTTAAGATTTTGATGTTCAAACATCAACAAAATATTCTTTATGTTTGGATTAAATTTTCTCGAAAACAAAGACATAATTAAAACTTCCGTTACAATACGGAAATAGATTGAAGTTTTGTGATTACAGTGATATATAATTTATATAGTTTTGTGGCAAATTGCTTGCTATTTTATGGCAAATGCTGAAGCTCTGCAAACTTTAATCAAGCCTTAATCAAAGCACGTGTGTTTGGAATTTTGGGTATGGCTTAACACGACATGATCGGGCTAAGCCTCAGGGCAGATTTCTGAAATATAATATATATCTCCTTCGGCCACACACTTGTTTTACCCGACCCCTTAAAAGCGACACGAAAGCACAGCGTAATAGACTCTTAATAAATATGTTACTTTTATAGAATAATCATAATATTTTATTGGCATGTTTCATTTATGTATTATCTATAATTACGAGTAATTATAGACGGGTAATTTTATGACAAATCTACTGATAAAAAAATTGTTTGTTCTGTATACAGAAGGGTGCACCAAAAAAAAGTTACCGTGAAAATATCGTTCAGGATGATGAAAAAAAGTCGGGTAAAGTTTTGAGCTCTTAATATTAATATTAAGAGGTGCCCTCATCGTGATTTTTTATTTCCCATTTAAATAACACGGGGAAAGAATTTTTTCTTTTTTAGAATTTACTTGCGTTCTAACAAAACAGCGGTTTGTAAAAATCAATACATATTCTTGTGGGAAATTGAACGGTCTTCAAAAAAGGTCTGATATGAATTTTCATTTAATCGACTCGTTTGAAAGATATTCTACGTTAAAGTTCAACTTCAAATCGTATATGATAACTTCTACAATTTTTTATATTTTGTCACGAAATAATGGTTCAAAAACATAAAAGATCATATTTTATTACAAAATAATGGCTCAAAAACATAAAATATCATCATATTTAATCACGAAATAATGGCTCAAAAACATAAAATATCACTTTTTATCACGAAATGATGGCTCGAAAACATAAAATATCATATTTTATTATGAAATAATGGCTCAAAAATATAAAATATCATATTTTATCACAAAATAATGGCTCAAAAACAAAAAATATCATATTTTATCACGAAATAATGGCTCAAAAACATAAAATATCATATTTTATCACGAAATAATGGCTCAAAACATAAAATATCATATTTTATCACAAAATAGTGGCATAGAAACATAAAATGTCATATTTTATTACGAAATAATGGCTCAAAAATATAAAATATCATATTTTATCATAAAATAATGGCTCAAAAACAAAAAATATCATATTTTATCACGAAATAGTGGCTCAAAAACATAAAATATCATATTTTATCACGAAATAATGGCTCAAAAACATAAAATATCATATTTTATCACGAAATAGTGGCTCAGAAACATAAAATATCATATTTTATCACGAAATAATGGCTCAAAAACATAAAATATCATATTTTGTCACGAAATAATGGCTCAAAAACATAAAATATCATATTTTATCACGAAATAGTGGCTCAGAAACATAAAATATCATATTTTATTACGAAATAATGGCTCAAAAATATAAAATATCATATTTTATCGCAAAAAATGGCTCAAAAACAAAAAATATCATATTTTATCACGAAATAATGGCTCAAAATCATAAAGTATCATATTTTATTACGAAATAATGGCTCAAAAACATAAAATATCATATTTTATCACGAAATAGTGGCTCAGAAACATAAAATATCATATTTTATCACGAAATAATAATTCAAAAACATAAAATATCATGTTTTATCACGACATAATGGCTCAAAAACAAAAAATATCATATTTTATCACGAAATAATGACTCAAAAACATAAAATATCATATTTTTATCACGAAATAATGGCTCAAAAATATAAAATTTCATACTTATATACAACAACCCAAAAGCTAAAAAGGTGGAGTGCAGAAAATTTATTGTTTGTTTATTTACCTAGAAAAGTAATTCCTGGCTATTTCCTCTCTATGTGGCTTTCACACATGATATCTGAACAAATCACCATTGTAATAAAGTTTATACAAAATTTACTACACACAACGAACTATTAAAAATCGCCAAAATTATCCCTGGTGCCATATCCTTTGTTTGGCACCAAAAAAATGCTATCCTATGATTCTACATCACCAGATTTTCATTAAATAACTTACTTGCTTTCAGTTTATTTTAAAAACTAATAAAAAAAAATTATGAAAAAGTGGTATTTTTCGTTTGTTTTCTATGCAACAATATTTAACAAATTATTAATGGAGATAAACTTGCTTTGTTGGAATTTTTAACAAATAACGTTTCTAGAAAAAACGTATGTAGTCACTTTTGTTTATTTTTTGATAGTTTAAAAGTTAATGTTAAAATTTGTAAGGAAGTAATAGACGTTACTCATTGATCGGTGAGCCAAGCCGCATTACATGCCACACTATGTCGTATAAGTTTGTGTTTTTGTGCTTTTTGGCAGTAACATTATGCAGTTATGGTAAGACATCATTTTGTTATAACTTGAACCCACTCCAACTTGTTGTTATTCTAAAAAAATATTATAGACAAGTTCGTAGAATTTATTCTAAATCTATGCCTTTTTTTTCAATGTTAATAATTATCAATAATTATACAGGGTGAGTCTTAAATAAGTGCAAATATTTCCATAGATGGTAGATATACATATTTTCTCTTTTGAAGATTAAAAAAATAATTTCTTAATTTTTTTGCTTAAATTTTGAGAACCACTGGATCTTTTCTGAGTTTTCTTTCTTGTAAATTTAATCTACTACCTATGTTGCCATATTTTCATGATATAAGGTTCTTTAAATAATAATTTTAAGAAAATCCATAATTCATTTTAATGAATAATTCAATTTTTCAAAAAATTACGAATGTTGTTTTATTTTTTCGCGAAAACAACCTCATAGACGTGTTTCTGAGATCGAAATATACTAGCCCTAAAAATATTTCCACTTATTTAAGACTCACACTGTAGTGCAGGTTGTATTTTTATAAAATTAGCTTTTTACAGGGTGGCCCATCGAAAACGTTCCGCAAGGCATAACGGCCAGGGTTATTTTATTTTTCAGAAAATCCAAAAACATGACAATTTTGTTTGTGAGGGGGACAACTTTTGCCCCAAAAATGATTGCAAAATCTTCAACTCTATAAGCGGGGGTGTCATCCCCCAACTTTTTTCAAATGGGAAGGGGAAAAAAACAGCAATGAAAAGAGCTTTCTATTCTCTATATTTCCCCGCTTCGTTTTTGAAAATCGGTCGAGTCATTGAGAAAATATGAAGGATTGAAATTTGAAAAGTTTATTTGAAGCTCTGCAAACTTTAATCAAGCCTTAATCAAAGCACGTGGGTTTTGAATTTTGGGCGTGGCTTAACACGACATGATCGGGCTAAGCTTTAGGGCAGATTTCTGAAATATAATATATATATTTCCTTCGGCCACACACCCGTTTTACCCGACCCCTTAAAAGCGACACGAAAGCACAGCGTAATAGACTCTTAATAAATATCTTACTTTTATAGAATAATCATTTTAATATTTTATTGGCATGTTTCATTTATGTATTATCTATAATTACGAGTAATTATAGACGGGTAATTTTATGACAAATCTACTGATAACAAAATTGTTGGTTCTGTATACAGAAGGGTGCACCAAAAAAAAGTTACCGTTAGAATATCGTTCAGGATGATGAAAAAAAAATCTGGTAAAGTTTTGAGCTCTTAATATTAAAGATTGAAAAAAAAAATTAATATTAAGGATTGAAATTTGAAAAGTTTATTTAAACATTTATCAGACTAAATGATAAGGATAAATTCCTTCAACCAATTTGCTGTTTTTTCTTATTATTTGTTGTTTTATTTGTTTTTTTTTTCTTATTATTATTTGTTTTTTTTCTATTACTTATGTTTACGCATTTTTTCACTTGCCACAAGGTTGGGGATGACACCCCCGCTTAGAGGGTTGAAGATTTTGCAATCATTTTTGGGGCAAAAGTTGTCCCTCTCACAAACAAAATTGACGTGTTTTTGAATTTTTTGAACAAAAAATATCCTGGCCGTTATGTCTTGCGGAACGTTTTCGATGGGCCACCCTGTATAATTTACTAACCGAGTGTTTCAGTCTTATTTATAAATTATTAAGTATGTATATCTAAATTTTGATAATATTATACCCTCCCAGTAGACTTTGAAGTAATATATTAACATTAGCGTAACTAGCAATTCATCCTGGGGGGCCTAGAGTAGATCACAGTCAGTGGGGGCCTAGTGCTTTTGTTTTTTAAAATATTAAAAATAATAATATTAAAAAATAAAGACGTTTTTTTGAATAAAACGTCATGATTTTCTCTATCAATAAATTTAAAAGTCTTATCAAACCGTGTTCTCTAAATACCTACAAATTTTGTAAAAAAAATCAAAACTAACACTCATTTTTTGAACAAAACAAAATAATATTAACTAAACAAAACTAGAAAAAGTTATTTTTACTATCACAAGAAAAATAGGTGTATCCGTTTAAAATTAGCGAGAACTGAAACTAATACCACAGATTATACAGATTATAAACTTTGTTTTTTCTTTATTGTTTTTCGTGGTTCCAATTTTCGGAATCGGGCACTAGTTAGGTTACTAGTTTGCGCACATAGCACGCCCACTTATGGCCTCTAAAATTGTGCACAGCGTCTGACCTCCACAGTTATTAGAGAGATATCGGAAAACCGAATAGCGTCATGCAGTATTTACGCGTACCTTATCATGGTTACGATATGCGCGAGTCAATTTTTAACGCAACACCCGCTAATAACGTTACCGCCTGACGTAATTTGCGGATCAATTACACCAAGCGCTATTTCTAAATAACGCTTAAAAATTGCTTAAATGGGCATGTGCGGGTATTTGACAACCGGGGCCGGCCGGCGAGATCTTTTATTTTAGGTTATGTGAATTGTTTTGAATTATTGCTTTAGTTTTATTAGATAATTTGATGTTTAAGTAGCTGGGATTAGTTTTAATTAAATAAATATGGCCCAAAATATGGATTCCACCTCTTCCAATATTAAAGAACCTATAAAGAGGCTTAGGTTTACAGCAGATGACGACTTAGCCCTTCTAAGAGAATTTGTTGCTTGTTGCCCTAAACCCACTGGAAGACGTTGAACAATAAAGCACTGGAAATAAGCACTTTAGCCCTTTAGTTTTAAAATACCTAGTAAACAAAACAATTTCAAAGTTTTAAATTCAAAGTTAGTTTAAGTTTAAATAGCGGACGCGAACAGAATAGGTATATATATAACTAGGATTCTTTCCGATCCGATAACTATAAATGAAGAGAGTTAATACCACCTCACGTAAAGGAAATAACACCTGGCCTTATTAACGTCCATGCACGCTATTCGGTTTAGCCATATATCTCTGTTACGCTGTTTATTGTTATTTTACGCGAGTTTATTTTTGCGCACAGGAAATTTTACTCGTTTGCACATCGTCATAAAAAACAATTTTCGTACCACGAATTAGGGACAAGATTTTTATCTGTATACTTATAGGATACCTAATCTGTGCTAATACAAACTTAGCCAGAATTACCCTATATAGCAGTAAGATTTTAACTTGTTTTTCCTCGAAATAAGAGCTATACACTTGTACTTGTTTTATTTATCTAAAAAATCGATTTTTCTTAAAAATATTATTTTCAATACATGAGGATGAACTTGAGCTTTTATCATTATGTCTACAGACAGATAAGAGAGCTAGTCATCGAAAACACACACATACAATTAAACACCTAGAATAGAATAATATTACTCAACTAAAGGTTAAAATAATTACCATCATACAGTGACAATGGATCCAAAAATATTGTGTTCAGTTTTGGTCCTAACACTTTTTATTTGCATACATCCAAGTAAGTTGTTTTTAGTTGTTAGTAAGTAGAAGAATAATTCTGTAATAATAAGCTATCTTTAGAATGTAAGAATGTTTTTATTTTCGATCAGTAATGTAAATTTATATTAAGAATCGATTTCATTAGTTCGAAAAAATAGCAAAATAAGCGTTCGACATTATTTACCGTTTTATTTATAACTGGCTAGGTATTTTTACACAAATGAAGAAGGAAATTAAAGATAAAGTATTATACTATATCCGTATTGTAGCACATTTTTAGACAACTTCTTTATTTTTAAGATTTTGATGGTGAAACATCAACAAAATATTCTCGAAAGTAAAGACATAATTTAAAATTCTGTTACAATACGGAAATAGATTGAATTTTTGTGATTACACTGATATATAATTTATATGTTTTTTTAACAAATTGCTCGCTATTTTATGGCAAATTCTGAAGCTCTGCAAACTTTAATCAAACCTTAATCAAAGCACGTGTGTTTGGAATTTTAGGTGTGGCTTAACATGACAGGATCGGGCTAAGTCCTAAGGCGCGTTATCACGAGTCAAATTTAGTTGAACAACTTTAGTTGATCAACAAAAATTGAATAAAAACTTGATCAAGTAAAGTTCACATGTGCAGCAGAAATTGGTAGTCCCGGTTCAGTTTAAAAATGGCGTCGATACAACGCAAAGCGTTTTCTCTTGCATCTTTGTTTTAATAGTCACTGATGCGATAGTTCCAGAGGCACTCGTGTCTTTGATATAGTTCAAAAAACTTCATAATCACATTTTCTGACCATTTAACACTCATTGTTAACACTATTTTTTTATTTTCAATAATATTTCTTGGCAAAAACTACCAAAACCGTGGTCAGTTGATTGACTGCCTAGTTCACACGTTTCAAGACTTGTTTCAACTTGAAAGCAATTCGGGACTTGAACGACAAAAGTTTGAATGGATCAAACTTTTGTTGAACAATTAAAAAGTTGATCAAGTCCATTGTAACAGTAGTTCTCACTATAGTTTTTATTCAATTTTTGTTGATCAACTAAAGTTGTTCAACTAAACTTGACTCGTGAGAACGCGCCTTTAGGCAGATTTCTGAAATATAATATATATTTCCTTTCCGTAGCAAAAATGTCAAAAGTTGACATATATAATATGTCATTCTATTCAGAATGATATTTTCTATCAAATAAAGTAAAACTTGGGGTGTGAGGAGGGGGTTAGGTTTTTTGTACTTAAAGCTTTCACAGATTACTTTTATTATATCCTAATAATTTAATATGTGTGTAAAATAAGACCTTATTATTATCTTACGAATACTACAACAATCTAATTCTTATATGTATGTATTTTTGTTACAGCATCAGCACTGTTTTGTTATCAATGCAGAGGAGATACCAACAATTCTGATTGTGAACTCAATGTCCTTACTTCAGCGTATCAACAAAATTGCACAACTGGTTTTGTCTGTGCTTCTTATATAGTTGAAAGTAAGTAGATACGATATAGATATATATTTTTATGTATACCTTGCATATAAAGATGAAAACGATACATCGACCTCTCGCCAATATCGCTGTTGCTCTATTATTTTTGTGATGTTTGTATCCCCAATCTTGTAGAATATAGAATGAGTAAGATCTATTGTGTCCCCCTTCCTTGAGTCATCACACAGTCTATAACCCATCATACCCCTGTTGTAGAGGGGACAGGGTATCTACCATCCTCCTCTAACAACAGTTCTTCCTCCGAGGGTACACACCCTTCCGCTGTTGGAGTTTGGCCCTCCGTGCGGCCCTTCACAGTCGAGGAGCTTGTCTCCGGCTGAGGAACCCGTGAGGTGGAGGCTGGAGGATCTGTCTCCATTTTCTCCACCTCTTTAACTTGGTCTCTCCTAATCTCCTTAGACCTGATACCGGTGTTGTCCCGTATCTATAATAGAGGATATGTTTCTTTGTCTCTATTCCTATTTTTCACAATTCCTATTGTGAGGACCTGTCCCCTAACCTATCCCCAATCTTGCAACTGTATCTTTAAAGGAGCGTTTATACAAGTCAAGTCAACTGCTCAAGTCACTTGAAATCATTTCCCATGAATGTTATATGTAATATCAAAAAGTATAAAATCTGCATAATTTTTATTTATTTTTATAGGTTCGACCCAATACATGGTCAACAGGGGATGTTTCGAGCCTAACGTTTGTGACGTGGTCAACGCCGATAGTTCACATGTCATTGGCGTAAACCGGACTGTCAAACTGTGCACAACGTGCAGTTCGAGTGACCTGTGCAATGCCGCACATCCAGTCACATACAGCGCAATGCTTCTAGTATTCGTTCCAATAGCAACATTTATTTATAACTATTTTTAATTATTTTTTTGTTACTGAAGTATTTATTTCAAAATTCGTACAATGCAGATTCTGTAAAATTTTGTCTAATAATAGATTATTAATAGATTACGTTAGTATGCTCATAATGCCCTGCTGGGCATTATCGTATACTGGCTAACACACGATGGGCATTATCGTATACTAACACGCGTGATGCATACAAGATTTAGGTTATCAGTATTTTAGTATTTTTGAATAAGTTTCAATATAAAATGTCAATATTAAAAAGTGTTTTGATGACTGTGTGATGAGCAACATTTATTTTTCCTCCTTTTACTATTTTTTAATACCAAAGAATTTATTTCAACATTTATGCAATACAGATTCTGACAAATTTTGTTTTATAATAGATACACTTATGTACTTAAGGCGGTAGTACCTATGTCCATAATGCCCGGTGGGGCATTATAGTATACTAACGTACGATGGGCATTATCGTATATCGACACCCTTGATGCATAGAGTATTTTATTGTTTACTTATTCATCAGTAATTTAGTATTTTTGGTTGTGAACTTTTTATACAAAATGTAATAGCTTTTGGTTGTTGTTTTATATGCCCAATAATTTGTACTGTGTTACTAGAAGTTTGTTTATTAATTCTTTGAAATATCGTACAGTAGTATATGTATTATATGTAATGTCCAGGCGTGTTATAGGTTTGTTTACGTATTTCGTATCCTAGCAATAATCCTGAAGTTAAAAATGGAAATAATAATTAGAATAGAATTGTTGTTTTGAACACAGAAGAATTTTGGTGAAATCTTTACATGTTTCTTAATATTAAATTAGTTATCTGAATATGATTTTATTTTTAATTAACAATATTTTTAAGCTAGATTAAACCAATATAGAAAAATGTGTATAGGATAGAACACGATTTGTCAAATTACATTTTAAGAATATATATAATACAGAATTTTTGTTATTATTTTATATAAATAAATATAGTAAAGAAATATTTTTGCAAAAATAATAATTTAATTTTTATAAATAATTTTTAGATGGCATTTTATTTTAGTATAGTTTTTTTTTTATTTAGTAAGATCTTTCAAAATTTGTATTGTATTTGTAAGTATAAAAGCCTTGGATTTATTTAACATAACTCAATTTGCTGTATTATTTTTATTAAAAGTAGCTTTTTTGAGACATTTTCGTTCTATTAATACTATATAAATAACTTTGAATCTATATCTATAAATTTTAATATTATAAACAACCTAACCGAACTTAAAAAAGGTTTTTGTTTCTCCTGTAAAAACAGGTTTTGAGTATTTCAAAGTAAGGTATCGATATTCTTATTTTCCGATTGAAAATTTCCTCTGTCGCATGTTCCAAGTCATTATTTGCTGTATCGCAAATAATCAGACTGTCAATTTTCCTTAAAAAAGTACCTTTTCCATTAGATTAGAAGGTCTCTTTATCAATATATAAATAAAGAGTGCATGTATGATTAATCGAAAAGGAAAGGCATACATAAATAATGAATCCTCTAGATTATACAAATATTCCTCAGTAAGTTTAAGAACAGTTAGGTATTCAAAATCACATAGGTAGTGCTATAATGGATTCAAAAATCTTGTGCTCTGTTCTTGTTATAACACTGATTTGCATTCATTCAAGTAAGATGATTTGACTATTGATAACTGTTGAATAGAATACTTAAAATTGTGTTTTAGCTCTTTCTCAGGCGACAGAATGTTATTATTGTCATCCAGACCATGAAAGTAACAAATGCTTCGATCCTGTCGAAAGTTCATCACAAAACACAATAATTAATTGTAATGAGCAATATGGTCCACCAAGTGATAACGCTACGTACATTTGTATCTCTGCTAGCATTAAATACGGTAAGTAGGTAGTGTTGCATTTATGGTTGCAAATGTGTTGGTTAAATTTATAAAAAAATTAATTGTTAATATACTGGCAAATACTTTTTTAAATAGATTTCTCAAGAAATTATTATATCCCCGGATTACATTTACAAGAGGAAAAACTTTAAAAATAAAAAAAGTTTTTGCTCGGTTTTTCCTCTCGTAAAGTAGGCCTGTTCCAAACATCGGAACACCGTTTTAACACCGGTGTTGGGCTGACACCGGTGGCCAAATATAGACTATTCGGTGTTCCGATGTCGACACCGACACCGGTGTTCATTTCGATACCGGTGTTCATCTCGACACCGGTGTTGGTCTGGACACCGGTGTTCATCTTGATACCGGTTTTGACTACGACACCGGTTTTGATATTGACACCGGTGTTTTGTAAACGGGTTAAAGAAGAAATAATGATAATTAATAAGTTCAAAATAAACCTGATAATAATAATGTCGTATCGGTGCTTATTTTTATAGTTTATTAAAGCGCACCCCCCGACTTTAATTTAAAGCTTTCAAATTTAAATATAATTTTTCTGTCAGACTAATCACTAAAATAGAGTAGAAGCGTCAGATAAACAACTATAAAGTAAAAAATTGTTTAATCAAAAACAAATAGAAAACAAAACATAAACAAAAATTCGTAGCTGTAAAATAAGCTAAAAATATTACATTAAAAAAAAAACGGCACCATCGACATCGACGATCGACACCGACACCGGTGTCACGATAAACACCGGTGTTGTACATGAACACCGGTGTAGAGATAAACACCGGTGTTGAAATGAACACCGGTGTTGAGATAAATACCGGTGTCGGTGTTGACACCGGTACACCGACTAAAACACCGGTGGTCATCAACACCTAACACCGGTGTTCAAATCTCAACACGGAACAGGTCTATCGTAAAGACACTCAGTTGGCATACTGTTTATTTGTTTTTCTTTCAAGCGTTTTAAAAATACTAGTATGAATCCATTTTAATAAAGAACAATATATGTAACTCTCTCTGAAAAAAATTCGTATTACTTACACATATAAAATTTGCAGTAAACCATAAAAAACAATGATTTCTCTTATCGTTTAATTGGAAGGAAGTGAAAGAACTTAAATGAAGAATTAGAGTCAAAAATTACCACTGTGACGCTGATTTTTCTTTGATCTGACTATAGTGTATTTTGCAAACCAACTTTAAAAATATCTTTTTTTTATACAAGGCGATAAAATGTTATTGTATAAAACAGTGCATAAAACAATATTTTACGTTTTAAAAAATATTCAGAAATTATTATTTCAAGGAATTTGTTACCAGTAGAAAAAAATATTGTGCTGGGTTGGCGTTGGTTTCTATGTAATTTGACAAATAAATAAAGCTGTCTCTTTAGTTGTCAGTTTTGAGTCAATATTTTTTAATTCTCTTTCGTGTCGATTGCAGATTGAATTGGAGCCTGAAATGGCTCAAAACGAAATAAGTATATTACCAACAGATACTCAGGCTGAAGCGACAAAGCCATATCCAAACTACTTCCATTTAAATCCCGAATAACTTATGAAAAGGAATACAAAAATTTTCAAAAATGGAAGCAATTAAAAAACGTGCGTGAAGAAATAAAGTTTTTAACCTATCCTCGTTGTTAAAGTATCATTTAATCTACCTTTGCGGTTAAAGTACTATTTTATCTACTATTTTTGATAGATATAAGGCAATTTTAACAGTTTAACAGTTTTAACAGAATCAAAAAAAAGTGATTTTCTGATTTCAGGTAATGCCTCTCAAACAGGAATTTTCAGAGACTGCATGGAAGCTAAGCCTAAAGTGAACTACTGTATTCATTTCGAAAAGGGCTTAATGGTAATGAGATTCCTATCTTTCGGGTACCTAAATATTACCTTAGTTTCTTGTAATACATGCACGAATTCTTTGTGCAACAGACAAATTTTTGATCTAAATGGTATTGCAAATAATGCAGCCAGCTTGCAGTATGTTCTTTTTCCATTAGTACTATGTTTAATATTTTTGCGTGCAGCTTAAAGAGCATATTGTAATGAGTAATACTTTCTTATTTTTTTTTAAATAAACCACTTTGTATGATATTGAATATTTGTCTTATTTCCATTAGAGAATGTATGTCTTTATGGTCACATAATCTATTCCATGGCAGAATATTATTATACAGAGCAGGGTGAGCCAAAAAAAACTAACCTGTGAAATTTATGTATTAAAATGAATGAATTTTCTTTACTTTTCTTTATCTTCTTCATAATTGGAAATGGTTGAATATGACTAATTATTTTGCACTAGCTCTATAATTCAGTAACATACGTGAATCATTACTAAATAAACAGTTAATCAATATATTTCGACACCCCTAAAGTACTTAAATTTGTACTTTTTCTGATTAAAGCTGAGTCTACACATAACGTCTTACCGTACGTTTTACCGGCCAGTCAAAACGGAAACCCGTTTAATGAACTGACGGCATTTTTCTAGACGGTCTTCCATGATAATTCAGTTCAAGTAAATCGTCCATTTTTTTCGTCTACAAACAATCTTTTACGTGTTTTACGTTTCGACGTAAAGTAAAACTTCACGTGTAGACAGGGCTTAACGTTGTTAATTACCTTTATCGCTTTAATGAAAATTCGAAGAATACGTTTTGCACATACAAAAATTGTCTCCTAAAGCATATACATCTGATATCATCGCAAACAATCTATTTATCTTATATCTTATCATTGTCAATTAGTTAAAAAATGTAAACCGTATTAATAAGCTTCAATTTATTAAATTGTGTGAAGGTTTCATGCCAAGTTTTGTACTAATATTGACAAAATGAAAACAGAAATATATTTTTCTTCGAGTTTTGTAATTTTATTAGTTACGTTCTCTTTTGGTAAGTGTAATTTATTTAATATTTTTTTTTGGCTATTCCGAAAAATTTTCTATTTGGAAAATTATAAAATAAACTAATTTAAATTAGGAATGAGATTTTTTTTACAATCTATCGATAACTATCGATAGTTAACAATTTATCCAATAACTTTAAAATTATCGATAAACCGATAACTATCGGTATGAAGATTGTTATCGATAACTATAATACATGGTGGTTCGAAATGAATTTTGGACTTTGGCAGCATATTCTGCAGATAAAAATGAGTAAAAAAGTTCGTATAAATTTTTGTCCCAAAATACTTCGTTTCAGCGATACAGGGTGTAGAAATTTTATTTTTATTTCGGGTTTTTTCAAATAATTTCTGATCTAAGGTCGGTATTTGGATGAAAATTGGTTTCTGGGGGTTTTTTGATATGAAAAATTTGATTTCGATGTCAATATGACTCCTACTTCTAGGGGGCGCCACCTACATGTCTTTAACTATTTCAAAGAGTAATAGTTCTTTGTCCGTTCCTGTATATAATTACTGAGTGAAAAAATATACATTTCGGTTAATTTTTACGTAAAAAAGGCCTCTTGGTAAAAATCACTACGTGCAATGGTTCTCGAGATATTTGGAATCTAAATAATCAATACATCATTGACAAAAATTCAACATATTAACACGGCATATAAATCACACGGCAGGCTAACTCTGCCCAGATCCCATTGTTTGAAATTTCTATAAAATTTGACCTTGAAAACACCATTATGGGTGCCGAGTCAGGGCCGGATTAAAACGTATCAAAAAATTTCCCAGAAAATTAACTATTGATAGACAGGGTCGTATTAAAAAAAATACTGTAATTGACTGAAACTGAATTTTATTTACACAATACTTTTATCTAAACAAATGAATAGTTAACCGCGCACACTCCTCGAAAAGTAAAAATGAAAAAATCAATTAAACATTTAACTGTAGAGAATAGACAATTAAAATTAAGAAACATGCCAGGAGTTACAAACAAGAATTAAAGAAATACCCAATAAAATATCTATTGAACAATCTAAAGTGGCTACGTACAAATTATGTCCATCAATGGACATAGCAAATTTTGTTAATATTCGAATTGCACAAATTAACAAATCAGCTAAAGGAAGAAAAGTAACTAATGAATTGAAATATAAATGTTTGGCTATATAGTTTTCCGGGCCAAAAATATACAAGACGCTCTTGACAAATCTATTTTGCCTTCCACGTCCAGAGACCCAGAGACACTAAGGTAATGAATATATATGACATCGATATCAAACCTGGCTTAGAAAATCTTAGTGTATTTGAGACTCTGAAAAAGAAAAGTTGAAAGTTTCGATGACCCGGATGAACTTAATCGATATTGTGCTATGTATTGATGATAAATATGAATATCAAGTGCAATTTATTTTATAATAGTGGTCTTGATAATATTGTAGGTTTTGAGGACCAGAAGGGGAACAGAGAGTTTAAACCAGCTCGGGTGTCTCATGTTGTTATGCTCAGACGTATCTTTGCCAATGGGAAGCAGTCTCTAGCTTATTTCACAAGCTTGCTTTGTATGTATGTTTGTTCGGGGCAAATCTTGTAAGCTAAATTAGAAGCACTTCCTTTCATTGTAGGAAATTGAAATTTGGCATGTAGGTTCAGTCCCGATGACAATACATTTTCTTGCAAAGCATGACCCGAATTTTTGACAACTGTCAAAAAAATCCAAAATTGTCCGATTTTGACAAAAATCGATATATAAGATGGCCATGGGCTAAAATGAAAGAAAAAAATATTCAAATTTGACAGCTGTCAAAAAAATCTCAAAGTTGTCCGATTTTGATAAAAATCGTTACATTGGATGCTCCCTACCACATAGTCGGTTTTCATATTATTTGTCTCACATTTGAACTGTCAAATTTGACAGCTGTCGTTTTTTTAAGTTCTCCTTTTTAATGAAAATCGATATACATATTATTAGGATGCCCATAGGAAGTTATTTAAGAAAAATAATTGAGTTTAAGTGTGTGGCACTGAGAAACCAGCATAACTAAAAAGTAAAAAATAAATTTAAGAAAAAAAACTTTTTAAAAACAAGCTTTTATTTAAATACATTAAGAAGAAAAAATAAACTTTTTCTTTAAAACTTTTATTATGAACTTATAACGTCATTACACAATTTTATATTACATAAAAGCTTGTCGCGAGATTTGAGTGTACAGTTGCACTCATAAAAATCTGGTACGACAACTTTATCTTGTAATTCCAATATCTTGTAAACCTATCATTATTTCCATCCAGTTTAAAAGAACATTTAAAAAACTTTGTGTCCGAATATTACACCCTGGTACTGAAAATTGCCAAAATGATATGGCAAACATCTTATTAAAAACGGCAGACCTTATTATAAAAAACAACAAGACCTCTGTTATTTTCTCTCTGAATTGTCATGAGCTATCCATAAAAATAAAAAATTGATACGGATAATCAGAAAAACAGTATTTTAGAAATGAATCTTGTTTGTCATTTTGCAGGATACCTAATAATAAAAATTACTTTAAATGCCGTAGGCAATGATTGAGTATTAGAACTAAAAGAATTTCGGACTTCCATTGTACTACTAAACTACAAAAACCAAATATATCACACAATAAACAAAAATAAAAAAACAAAATATATCACTCAAGAAAAGAATGAAATAAATTAAGCCGTACGCTACTGACTCAAAGCTGCCGTAACTGTATGTTGTCGACTGACTACGGCACTGGTTAATTTCTGTTGCTGGCACCCATAATGGCGGCGTGCGCAAGGATATGCGCGTAGCGTTCCCGCTAAAGCGAGTTGGCCTGCCGTGTGATTTATATGCCGTGATATTAACATACCTAGCTATTAAACTGAAATCATAAATTTGAAATGTTTTTGTGCTAAGTTTCAACATAAACTATTTCATCATAATTTTTTCTCGAAAACATTTTGATTAATTTGAATTTGAAAATAGTAAAAGTTCGCTCTATTTAATACTTTATTTTAATTTTTAGCTCTTTCTCAGACGATACAATGTTACGATTGCGATCCAGTAGATGAAGGTGAAAAATGTGGCGATCCTGCCACAAGCGTACCCAAGCTACTCAACTGTAATAAAGAATTTGGTCCACCTGAATCTAATTCTACCTACATTTGTCTCTCTGCGTACATTAAATACAGTAGTAAGTTATTCCTCCCTTTTCCATTTCCCTCACCCATTTCCCTCACTCGATTTTTCTTATTTCGCCTCATTTAATTAAGCAAAATATTCTTGTAATATCTTTATGAAAGACTTATCTAACACCAACAAAAATAAACAAGAAGATTAACAATAATAATTAAAGATTTTAATACATTTATTTGTTGAAGGTAAAAATGCTAGACTTCTTTGGCTTAAACTTAAAACCTACATTCTGGCGTTTTAAAAAACTTTTTTAACGAGTTTGTGATATTTTGATATGTCAGTCTTTTCCCTGAATTCTAGCATTGTCCGTATTATATGCTGTACGTAGCCCAAAGACTATATGCCATCAAGACTGTCTCCGAAGCAATATTCTTAGCATTTCTTTCGGCACATCATTAATTTTTCGTATACTTTCAATGCTATTTCATATCGCCCCCTACTTTTCTCTGGAAGTAAACTGGCTTCTGCTCTTTTTGCAGCTTCTGTAAGTTCTGGTGGAGTACCAATATTAAATTAGTTTTCATTATCAGAACTTTCCGACAACATGCTGGCTTTCTATGTTATATAGATTCGAAAAAGCGAACGAGAAATTTAAAACTGTCACTTAGATATTATATTTTGTTTAGAAAAATATATCTATAAGAAATATTAACAAAAACTACTTTTTGATGAAGTATTATTTAATTTACATTTTCACTAAATTTTATTCAGAGCGAACATTAATCAAACAAATAAAATTTTGCAGTAGGCCGTACAAAAAAAAATGATTTCTCTTATCGTTCAATTGTAAAAAAAAATGACAGTTCCCAAAATAGCATCTATGAATAGCATATAGACACAGATTAAGTATACTATATGTATACAGATAAAAATCTTATCCCTAATTCGTGGTACGAAAATTGTTTTTTATGACGATGTGCAAACAAGTAAAATTTCCTGTGCGCAAAAATAAACTCGCGTAAAATAACAATAAACAGCGTAATAGAGAGATATCGCTAAACCGAATAGCGTGCATGGACGTTAATAAGGCCAGGTGTTATTTCTTTTATGTGAAGTGGTCTCTCTTCATTTATAGTTATCGGATCGGAAAGAATTCTGTTCGCGTCGCGTCCGCTATTTAAACTTAGCCTAACTTTGAATTTAAAACTTTGAAATTGTTTTGTTTACTAGGTATTTTAAAATTAATGGGCTAAAGTGCTTATTTCCAGTGCTTTATTGTTCAACGTCTCTGCCAGTGGGTTTAGGGCAACAAGCAACAAATTCTCTTAGAAAGGCTAAGTCGTCATCTGCTGTAAACCTAAACCTCTTTATAGGTTCTTTAATATTGGAAGAGACATATTTTGGACCATATTTATTTAATTAAAACTAATCCAAGCTACTTAAATATCAAATCACCTAATAAAACTAAAGTAATAATTCAAAACAATTCAAACATTACCTAAAATAAAAGATCTCGCCGGTCGGCCCCGGTTGTCAAATACCCGCACATGCCCATTTAAGCAATTTTTAAAGGTTATTTAGAAATAGCGCTTGGTGTAATTGATCCGCAAATTACGTCAGGCGGTAACGTTATTAGCGGGCGTTGCGTTAAAAATTGACTCGCGCATATCGTAACCATGATAAGGTACGCGTAAATACTGCATGACGCTATTCGGTTTACCGATATCTCTCTAATAAATGGTCCGGTCAAGCGCTGTGCAGAATTTTAGAGGCCATAAGTGGGCGTGCTATGTGCGCAAACTAGTATCCTAACTAGTGCCCGATTCCGAAAATTGGAACTACGAAAAACAATAAAGAAAAAACAAAGTTTATAATCTGTGATATAGGTGTCAAAAATTATAAACAATTGTTATTTTAAAGACCAAATTAATTGTTTCTTATTTCTAATTTCAGGTAATGATACTTTAACTGGAGTTTACAGAGGATGCAAGTCGCAAAAAAGTGATGTTGAGAGTTACTGTGATTTTTTCAAAGAAGAAATAGACGGCCCTAACGCAACTGTAATATCTTGTACTACGTGTACTGATTCTTTATGTAACAACCAAACATTTAGTCTTAGTGGTAATTTAAACGATGCAGTCAGTTTGCAGTATGTTGTGTTTCCATTAGTATTGAGTTTAGTATTTTTGCTTGTAGCATAAACAGTATATTAATAAATAATACTTATTTTTTTATACGATTTTTTTTGGAACTTTAGTTTCGGAGATATAAATTTAATCGGACCTTTTTAAAAAAATTAATTTTATTTTTCAGAAACTATTAGATATAGAGTTTACCAAAAATGCTTTTTATAACTACTAGTGGGTAAATGAATTTCTAGATATATTACGAATTTTTTTGGAACTTTAGTTTCGGAGATATAAATTTAATCGGATCTTTTTAAAAAAATTAATTTTATTTTTCAGAAACTATTTGAGACAGAGTTTACCAAAAATGCTTTTTATATCTACTAGTGGGTAAATGAATTTGTAGATATATTACGACATTTCTTGGAACTTTAGTTTCGGAGATATTAATTTAATCGGACCTTTTTAATAAAATTAATTTTATTTTTCAGAAACTATTTGAGACAGAGTTTACCAAAAATGCTTTTTTAATAAACTATTTTTTTAGTCTTTAAAAATCTTTTATTTGGAAGAGAGTGAGAGAATTTCGTTAAGTTTGCGTCAGTATCTCTAGAACCATTTAGCAACTGACGTATAATCATGATAAAGAGTGCATACACACAGATACCATTACTTACAAATAATTACATAGTTTATTAATACTTATTTATTTTTATTAAAATTGAAAATTTTAAAAAAATTCAATTACATTCTGTATATTTTTTATATACAGAGTATTCCTTAATGACATGCTAATATAAGGAGGTGATTCTTGGATCTATTCTAAGAAAAAAAACTTCATCTGAATATATGTCCTAAAAATCTTACACACAAAATATACGAAAAGGAATTTAAAGAATCTTTTTTTATACATAGCTATGACAATCAGTAATAAACATTTGTTTGTTAAAATGGATATGGTAAACAATGTTTATCTTTCAGACCTAGGGTTCCCCACCGTCCCGGTTTGGCCGGGATTAACCAGAAATCAGAAAGTTTGTCCCGGCGAAAGTTTTACCTTGGCCGGGACCTGGACAATAAAAAAGTGTATACTACACACATAATATATTTTAATTTCTAATATTTACTGTTTTGTTTCAATTATTTAAAAAGCTTAAAAATAATTGTCCTGGAATCGCCGATGCTCAAGTTGGGAACCCTATTCAGACCCAATATTATTACAAATTCTTGCACATTTCGATTTGTGGTCTCTTGGGTTTCAGAAGAAATTTGACCATTGTGTGGCCTTAAAATGCCTAGAAACATTATTTCACAGTTTAATAGTCAGAATAGTAACACTGTCTCAACTACCGGCAAGTTGCAATAGCTGAAATTGTAGGAGTTAACCAAAGCGATGTTTCGCGAATATTAAAAAAATTCAGGGAGACAAACGAGGTTACTGACCGGCCTGGAAGAGGGAGAAAGAGAGTTACTACTGCTGTGCAAGACCGTCAAATATCCCTAATTGCATGACGTAATTCCCTGCTTTCTAGTACTGCTATTAAAAATGAGTTAGCTCGCCTTGAAAGAATAAATGTTTCAAGAAAGACCATAGCAAGAAGACTCCATGACAGAGGATTACATTTAAGGAGGCCTCTACATGTTTCGAAGCTTAATTTACAGCACAAAATTACGCGACTACAATGGGCTGAGGAGATGAGAGCAAATGGACCTAATTGGAATTTCGTCATGTTTATTGATAAAACAAGAATAGGCCTAGTGTCAGACTCGCGACGAACTTTGGTCTGGAGAGCATCTGGAAGACGAGCATGCTTGAATGCAGCTCAACCAATGCTCAACCCCGTGTCCCGTTTCAAGGGGGAAGCATTATGATATGGGCAGGTATAATGCACGGAGCTCGAACTCCTCTTGTTTTTTTGATGGCACAATGACAGGTGCCTCATATCTTAGAGACGTTTTAGAGCCTATTCTGCGTCCATTTCGAGGGGCAGTGGGGGATGAATTTGTTTACATGGACGATAATGCTCCTCTCCATCGCACTTTAGCGGTTCGCGAATTTTATGAGAAAGAGGGTATGCGTAAACTGTGGTGGCCACCGATGTCTCCAGATATGAATGTGATCGAACATGCTTGGGACATGCTAAAACGCCATATTGCCAAAAGGAATGATCCCCCCCCCCCCGTACCTTAAATGAATTGAAAATTGCTGCACGCGAATCATGGGCAGCCATTCCTCAACATCTTCTAGACAACTTAATTGAGAGCATGCCACGTCGCGTCGTCTCACAGCTTGCATTGAGGCTCGAGGAGGCAATACAGAATACAGACTATTAGTTGTGAGAAATAATTAAAATTGTTTTCCATATTTTCTGTTTAAAATGAAATTTGTTTTTGTTGATTTTCACTCATTCTCATTATTAAATAAAATTATAATAAAGCAGCCTAGTTGCACTTAGATTTTTAATTTTATATTAGTTAGTCGTGTAGTAAGCCAATATGTCCAAAAATATAAAAAGAATCATATTAGGTCCAAAAAAAAAATAAAAAAATACCCCCACGCCCTTCTTCGCAATTTCAAGAGTAGTTTCGGGGCGTTTTAAGAATTGAAAGTAGGTAAAGACAAGAGGAAATAAGCCGAGACAACCGGAAATAAGGAAATACAACCTTGACGTGCTTCAGACTGTTTTCCGGATAGTTTATTACAAGAGATTTTTACCAGGTCACTATCAAGTCTATCGCGAACAATCTTATCAAAATGGAGTTTCACAGTAAGTACTTAAATAATAGGTACCGACAATTATTTCATAATTAACTAAGAAAAATAATATTTATAGCCGGGAATTATATGATATCTAATTTCAGTTATTCCAATAGTATATACAAAGTTATTTTATCTTAATCTATAATTTCCTACAAATGGGATAAAAGTAAGATCTTCTATTATTTATTTACGACAATTAGAAATAATACCCTTGAAGAATACCCGGTGGTCCAAATTTAAAGTTGAATATTAGATAAAATTAAAACATTCGTAGTCTATTACATTATTAAGAAATTTAAGAAATCTAAAATTTAAAAAATTCCAATGAAAAATAAAAGTTTTGAACAATAAGGTCTTTTACAAGTAGCAAGAGTGCTTATAACAAAAATATACGGGGTGAGTCTTAAATAAGAGCAAATATTTTTAGGTGTAGTGTATTTCGACTCCAGAAAGACGTCTATGAGGTTAGGCATGGTCGGCCTTCCGGTACACTGGTAAAATAATACAGAAAAATTCCGGTGGCTCCCAAATTTTTTTCAAAAAAAAGTCATTTTTTTAAATTTTCAAACTTAAATAACTCGGTTATTTTGGACTTATCTGAAAAATGTTAAAGAGAAAATATGTTTCTTTTATCGAGATCTACCAGCCCTGAAAATATTTGCGCTTATTTAAAACTCACCCTGTATAACGAGAAGTCTAATTTATCCCTCAAAATACCGTATTTCTTTAACGTTACAGGCAGAGAGGATCCAGTGGCTTTCAAAATTTATGCAAAAAATCATTTTTTTTTAAGTAAAGTTTAGTAAATTATCTCGGTTATTTTGGACTCTCCCCTCTGCATTGGCGTAACTACAGGGGTGCCCCGGGGTGTCGCCCCCCCCCACCCAAGTACTGCTTGGCACCCCCCAGAGAAATCCTGAATTATGACTCTTGGCTACGTATTAATTTTTATTTGCTTGTGATGCAGTAAAAATGGCGTTTTCTAGTTTTGTTTAGTTAATATTATTTTGTTATGTTCAAAAAATGAGTTAATTTTTATTTTTTTAGAAAATTTGTAGGTATTTAAGTAATCTACGGGAACACGGTTTGATAACCAAGTCTATGAAATTTATTGATAGAGAAATTCATGTAAACATTTTATTCAAAAAATGTGTTTTTTAAAATTATTTTTCATTTTTAAATAAACAAAAACCCTAGGCCCACCTGGGCTCAACCCCAGGCCCCCCCCTCCCCAGGCCCACCCCAGGATAAATTACTAGTTACGCTAATGCCCCTCTACTTCCCCTAGGAGATGCAAGACCTTGTCGTTGGTGGGGAAGCTCCTGGTCAGGTGCTGGGGGTAATCCCCTCTAGCACTTGGCTTGGTCTAAGAAGAATCTCACTCATCGTCTTGTCCCTGACTGTAGTGTCGTGGCCAGGGAATTACACCAAGACATATAACGATACCGGGCGGGGCTACGGACAGCCTCAACCTTGGGGTACCGGGGGGCACCCCATTGTATTACCTTACTTCTACATGCGGGGCTCTGTAGAAGTGGACCGACTGTCCCTAGCGACTCATAGGAACACTATGAGATCTGGTAATAATAGTAATAAAAACATCACCGGTGAAGCTCTGGGGAAACCCCCTAGCGACACTGGGAACAGTAACAATGAAAGTTCCAAGGGGCCAAACCCAAAGAGAACTACAGGAGAGGTGGCTGACACTTGCGTGAGACCATCCTCCGCAAGTGGCATACAAGCTACCACCTCCTCCAAGGGTCGGGAGCCTACCTCCTACCTCTAAACCCAACAGGCGACACAAGCTACCGTTTCGTCTACCCGGCCTGGGTCGTAGCTCCTCGACTGTGAAGGACACGGGTCTCCGTAGGAAGTCCTGGGACTGAATGATGAGTTATAACTCAAGAAAGGGGGACACAATAGATCTCTAAGGTCGCAGAGATTAACCCCCCTCCCACTTATTCTAATTCTAATTCTAATGCCCCTCTATCAAGATCAAGTGACCTAAATATACCAGAGCGAACAAAATATTGTGGCCTCTGTGTATATGGAAAAATATCTGGAAGTAATATCTCTCAAAATTGTTGTATTAAATTTATTATTATAAGCTATAATCCATCAGGTTTAGACCTGACAATCGTTTATTAACTAAATCACAAACTCCCAAGTTTCGCACTCACTGTTTCACAAGCTTTTGCATAGCATAACAAGTTAACATGTCGAAATTACAAGTTTTTCTATCTCTCGCTTTATTAGCTGGTAAGTATCGTTTTATATTATTTTATTTTTTTTTATGATAGACCTCTTAATTATCAACTAAAATCCAATTTTCGGGATCGAGAGCCCGTTTTGAAAATCCCGGGATAAAAACCTATAATCCCGAGATCCCGAAATTGACTTCCAGAATGAGAAAATTCTAATCTACAGAAATTGTCAATAAAAATGCAGTTGCATCAAAAAGAAAATGAAATTTAAAATAAAATAACATTCATGTTTCAAAAGTCAAAAAAATACAATAATTCTTGTTGCAAAATAAATGAAATAGAGCAAACACGGAAATGTAACTTAATATTGACGTTCTGCTTAGCATAAATAAAAAATTATCTTAAAAAGACTAAATTGTATAAAGTCGAATCCCTTCAGATTGGAAAATTTTTCGGGATTTTCGAAACCTCGGGATTTAATATCGGAATTTTTGGGTTTGGTTTGGTTTGGTTTGGTTTGGTACACAGTAGAGAGCCTTCTGTACTAGTGCACAGAAAGTGCACATATTTTGATTGCAAATTAATTTTTTTAAAACTTTTAAAAAAAATTTTTTAATTTCACTCAAAATGAGTTATTTCGGTCATAAATGACCTAACTACAGAATATTTTCATGGTGTCTGTCTGTCTGTCCATCCGTAACACGATAACTCAAAAACCGCTAAACCGATTTTAACCAAATTTGGCACAAAAATACTGTGGCACCCGAGAATCTGACCATTAGTTTTTGGTGGGGGTGGTGGGTTGGTAAGGGGGTATGGGAGGGGGTTAAAAATTTTAAAAAATCATAACTCCAAAATTACAGTAGCTAGCGAAACGCGGTTTTCAATTTAAGATTAGGAATAATATTTGCAACAAAATTTGTAATAACATCAAAATCAGGCAAAGTCGCAGTTTTTGAGATAAAAAAAAATTGAAAAAATTCCTTTACTTTGAAACTAAAAGAACTGCCTACCAACTTTTTATTAACATATCTTAGTATGGGCAAATAAAAAAGTAAAATTTCGCAAACCTAAGCTCCTTTTTGGTCAAACTAAAATGTCACAAGCAAAATTAGCTTGCTTGATTTTTACAGTAGAGGGTGATTTTGAAAATGTTACAATTTCAGGCAACCCTCGTATCTCAGTTGTCTAACAATTTATCGAAAAAGTCAAAAAGGATTCTTATGAGACATTTTATGCAGAATTGAGTAGCTTAGTTATTTGTTTCTTTTATTTTACCGTTTCTAAGATATTGACAAATGTTTTAGTTTCCTTAAATGGGACATGCACCCTGTATATATTTGACCAGAAGCAAATTGGTCTTTTTAGAAGCTTTTCGAAAATATTTTACAGTATGAGTTTATTTTATTTTAATAAATATCTACACAAATTATAATTTTCTAAAATTACGCATCTAAAATTTTGCAGTAGGCCATGACAGATAATTTTTGTTTATCGTACTTATGTGCTATAAATTAATTAGAGAAGAATGACAATTTCAATTTTATTTAGAAGTTTATATTTCTTCTAAATTTATTGCAGTAGATATGAATTTGAATGTAATTTGATAGATTAGCCATTATTTTTATACAGTAATGTGCCAAATATATACCGTATGATCGAAAAAAAGGTTTCCAAGCCAACTGCTTGAAAATTAAGACCGATACTCTATATAATTTTACAAATAAAATGACGAACTTCATTTCATAGCCATCGCTGACGAAGATAAAACAAACAAAAGACACATGCATATCTACTTATAATAAAAAAAACCTTAACATTGCTTAATATCTCAAAAATGGTAATATTAAGGCAAACATTAACTACCCACGCCACTGGATTATTCGTAAAAAGTTTTATAAGAATCCGTTTTAACCTTCTCGAGAAGTTGTCAGACAACTGCGCTACAGAACTAAAATTGCAACAATTTTAAAACCACCCTATATCTTGAAAACTAAGGAGGTTATGAAAGTTTTATTTGTGGGTTCAGAAAAAGAAGATCTGGTTCGCGAAAATAGAAAAGTCCTATCTTTACTTATAATCGTGATACCCCTCTTTTGTAACCAAAATGTGTCACCCTGTAATTGTTTTACCCAAATATTATTCTATGGCGACTTGAAGTAACCCAAGCTCACTCTTCTGTTTTACATCTACACTTGAGGTGGGAATTCTAGTTCCTTGGGAGGAATTAGTTCTAGTTCCTCCAGAGAAATAGTTCCTTGAACAAAGTTTTTAGTTCACAATAGTTCCCGACTAACATTGACATCCCTATTGCTTGCTAATGGGTTTCGTTGTCAGTCAGAACTATTCACAGTATGATCTGTATAATTTTTATAATGTACAAAATATAACGAGACGTGTAATTGTATATGTTAAATAAATATAGGGGAGTTTTATTGCAGATAAAAAAATAAAAATATCACAAATCCATTGGAGATGCGAAAAAATGCATTTTTCCTCACTTCAAGCTTTTGGTTTTTGTCTAAAAATTCAGAATATCTACTTCGTTTTATAAGATATTTCTTAATTTTAGGGATCTAAAGTGAAATATTCCCATAAAATATTCAAAGAACAAACTAAAACAGTATCCACGAGAATTAGGCCGACCGTAGCAATAGACAAGGCCGAATCCATTGTCTTTGCCTTGTATTATATCTCGGATCTGCCGACTGAATAGATACCAGCGAACTAATCTTTTAATTAGTTCCTCTCAGTCCTTTCGATCCGGGACAAGTAACATACGGCAGGCACTCTCCACTCCCGCCTAGCATCGGGCTACGTTCGCGCTGGGCGATCCGTACTTAAATTAGTCTTTTATTTAGTTCCTCTAGGTCCGGATCTGATAACATACGGCTGGTACTTCCCCTAGTAGCAATATTACAAGGTCCTAATTGTCACTTGTTTTAATTTTTATTTTAGCCACAGCTAGAGGTCAGGCAACTTTCTGTCACTTCTGTAACACTGAACGAGATGGACTGCCATGCGAAGATCCAATTGACTCCAGCAGAATCCAAGTCCAACGGTGTGCTGATCTAGCGGTAGCATCAAACTTGGAATCGTTTCCAGCGCTTGACGGTTCTGCCAATAATGCTGCCCAAGTGTGTGTTACCCTATCGTATACCTATTGTAAGTATATATTTATGACAAAAAATTAAATATAATATTTGGCTACCGTTACAATAGATAGCTAGTTCAAGTTAATGAGCTCAATTAAAAATCTAAACCCTGATGAACGCAATTCATTGCTTTTTGTCGGTACTTCAAGAAGAAACCACCTACGGCTCTTCTGCCAGCTAAAAATTACCGTTCGCAGGGTGTAACAAATAAAAAAAAAGGTTAAACAAATATTATTGGCGCCCAACGTGGGGCTTGAACCACAATGAATGAGATTAATGCCGCACTGGCGCACCACTTGTGCGCCGCGCCATTAGTGCAATTTTGGAATTCCATCCAGGTAAATTTAAGGTAATTTTTTAAATTTACCGATGCTAAAACTGGTGTACGTGGGTAATTGTGGTTCCGCTCGAAAGCAAAACTTAATTTACTAATGGTATTCCCTAAAAGAGTTGCATGCTCCCAAAAAAAGCCGCTACACACATATTTTTTGAGAGCATAAAACTTTTAATCCAAGGTTCGTGGGATAGGGTATCACGTTAGGCGCCACAAATATGTGTGTAACATTTTCTTTGTTACACGCTGAGAAGAGAAACTTTTCACCGGCAGAACAGTTTGTAGGCAGTTAAGATAGCTCAGTAGAATTGTCCAGTTAGCGAAAAGTTATCCGTTTGCAGGGTGTAATCGTAAAAAAATGTTTCACACATATTTTTGGCGTCCAACGTGGGCCCTAACCCACCACCATGAGATGTATATAGTCTCATACTCTCAAAAAATATGTCTGTTATGCTTTGCTTGAATTAGCGCAATATATCAGCACACAGTACTTAAGACTGCAATTTGTCTGGTTCTATGTCATACCACGACCATGTTACATATATCTTCCTTTGTAGTTGTGTCTTTCTTTCTGCGACAGGAGATATAATTAACTTTTTTTAAGCATTACAGGTTATTTAAATGTATATAAACCCAGCAGTTGCAATGATTATTTTTTTGTTCATAATTTTTCTAAAGATAAAATTACATCAATTATTGATTTATTTAGGTCTCTCCACAGAACACCAGGGAACATTGGTTTGAAACACCGAAGAACGAAGAACAATCATGCATCTCCATGATCGTGCTGATATTCCTTCTCATCTGGGTTTGTTGATTGAAAACACTCATCTGAACACCCTGAAGTTTGAAAATCATTCCTAGTTGCTTGATTTGAGGAATATATTGTTCTGATTATGAACAAATTTAATTAATATTTTGTTTCTCTGCCTACAATATTATAAATATGGCCTACAATTCATGTTATCGAGGTTTCTATCTTTATTATATTTGTATAAGGGGGGTTCTCTTTTATTTCTTACTGAATTAATACCGTATGATCAGAAAAAAACGGCGTCAGCGATGAAGTCAAGATCCCAGTCATTTTATATGTATAATTTATAGATATCCATTTATATCCGTGACATTTCCCAGCCAACTGGACGTCGTTTTTTTTTTTCGATTATTGTTCCTAGGGAGATTAATTATGTCCTTGCTAATTTAACACCCTTATCATTTCCTTGATACATAAATAACTATAAAAGTCTTAAATAACTATAGAATTCTAGGTACCTACTTTATAACAACACGTTATTGCTTTTAGTTGACAGAAACGTGTCATCCAGAGGCTGTGAACCAGCACAAAGGGCATTACTAGGAAGTACCCTCAGTACTTGCGAGTATTACAACGCGATGGCCCAGAGTTACATGACGAATTTTGTGTGCACATCGTGCGAAGGACAATTATGTAATGCTGCGAGTCCCGTTGAAATAATCGAAGAAGAAGCAGAAGTTGATAGACCCAGTGGCAACGGGGCAGACATTATGTCCATTTCTTTACGATTTTTCATCGTTACAGCACTGGCACTTATTATGCTTTAAATCTAATATAATAAATAATAAAAAATACATTTTTACGCGCCTTTTTTACAATTTTCCTCATTGTATCAGCACCATCCACCACATCTGTACTATTATCAGGCATCTGTCTAGGTTTGGATGTTCATATATAAAAGTGTAAAAGAAATATTTGTATACTGATTTATAGATTTACACAAATTGGCTTTTCGTAAATCGGTTTACGAAACCAGATTACTTGAAAGTGTAAACTCCCCTTTACTCAAGAGATCCGATCTCATACGACCTCTAACCGAATGAATGAGCAGTGTGTCTCAATAGAGTTCCACTCTTTCTATGAAACAACAGCACGACATAGTTTGCAGAGCTTCAATACACTCACATCGTCTAAATTAAGGTGATGAGAACCGGTGTTTCAACGTAGCTGGACCCTTGTCCAACAATTTTTTTAAATTCTTATTTCTATCAATGCAATTTCCTGTAAGCAACTAGCAAAACTACTAACTAGCCACCAATAAATCTGACATTGATTTGATAAACATGATCTGCCATCCCTAATATTGAGATCTCTCCTTTTTGTTTTATTTGTAGGATGTTTATTATGCTTTTAGATGTTTAAAATATATCTGTTGTTATTGGTTTCAGTTGACAGAAATGTAACAACCAGAGGCTGTGATGCAACGCAAACATTATTATACGGTATTAACTATGCTGCTTGCGAGTATTATGACTTGATGTATTCGAGTTATATCACGAATTTTGTATGCACGTCTTGCCAAGGAGAGTTATGTAATGCCGCGGAAACCGTCGAAGTAATCGAAGAAGATGAAGTAGCAGAAGATCAACAACCCGACGGCAACGGTGCAGACATTATGTCCATTTCTGCAAGATTCATTATCGTTACAGTGTTGGCACTTATTATGCTTTGAACCTAATATAATAAATAAATATATTTTAATACTATGTTATGCGCCTTTTAAATTTCCCTTAATGAATCAGCACCAGCAATCACATTCTTAAGGACGATCAATTCAGTAACCATCAAGTCCTCCTACTCTGAATGCCAGCCCATCAATGGATATAAGGTAATGCAAAAGCAAACGCTCTCCTCTAACAGGACCAAAACCGTTCTACTGCCCAAGAGGAAACCAACTTAAAGAAGAACTCCAGAACCTAGAAGACCTCAAACGATCTAAGGGGAATCCTCAATAAGAATAATCTTCGAATTGTCATGGGGTCTTTAACAGGATACTGTCTCCTCAAGGAACACCTCAGACGACAGTGGACAACGGCGAATGCAGATTCTGTGGAGGAAATGGAGAAACACCAGAACATCACTGAGTGAGCCGAGACTACAATCATTCGTGCCATAAACTTTGGTAGAACTGATATCGAAAATGGTGAACTAACTTCTTTAAAATCGTCTCAGATACTGGATTTTGTCCAAGCCCTGAGACTGTATGATGAGTGATAAAACTAATGTGATGTAAAATTACAGATAACTATAATATTGTAGATTATCTGTTTACTTTCGACATGTTTAAATATGGTTTCACAAATGTTTTATTTGTTTTGAATATTTTGCAGTCCATAATTTTTAGGGTTCCGTACTCAAACGGTAAAAACGGGAACCCTATTACTAAGAGTTCGCTGTCCGTCCATCTGTCACAAAGGTCTATCTTATGAACCGTTATAGCTAGACAGTTGAAATTTTTACAGATAATGTATCTATGTTGCCGCTATAAGAACAACTACTAAAAACAGAATTAAATAAATGTTTATAAATAAAAAAGTACTTTCACTAAACATTAATTATCTTTTAAGTAAGAATTTTACATAGAATCTTTCAAGTCCTCGGTGGCCGCGTGGTTAAAGCGTTAGAACTTTACGCTGTTATGACATTGGAGCCATAGTAAGGCAGGTTCGAATCCTAGTCAAAGCGACTTTTTTCAATCGGTTTTTTTTTTAATTTTTACATATTTTTACATATTTATTATTGATTAATACAATTTTTAGTAATGTGTTCATTTTTTTTTAATTACTTATACGCGCATTCAAAATTTCAGCTAAATAGGAAAAAAGTTTATAATAATACAGTCTAACCACAAATTTTGTGGTCTAACGTTGTATAGATAATGAATGGTACGGAACCCTTCGTGCGCCAGTCCGACTCGCACATGACCAATTTTTCTAGAAATGAAGATGCAATTATTTGTTTGTTTAGGTCTATCCATAGAATATCGAGCTGGTGAATCTATCATATGCTTTTGTTTTGTTTGTTCTTGCGTTTGTACATGTTGTTAGAGTTCTAAGTTGGACCACCATTGTTAAGAAATTGCTGCCAATATTGAGGAATCTGCTACTTGAGTATTCTTCTTATGTTGAGATTCTTCTAATGTTGAGGATCAAACTGCTTCTTCTTCTTCTTTACAATTAGTTTTACAATTAAATATAGAAATTGCCGAATGTAACTGTCAAAAATGCGTCGAAAATAAAAGAGAGCGTCCTGTTAAGAGCTTCGCCTTGGAATAGAGTAATGAGTGTATGTGTCTGAGTGACTGAGAGTGAGTGAATGAATGAGTGCCTCTGTGTTCTTCAGTGCCTTAAGTACGTTCTCTGACTTCCCAAAGCTAGAGACGTACAATATGCTTTTGACTATTCTTAGAGTAAAATTCATTGAGGTGTCGATTCTTCAAGAAAAAGGTAACTAAAGTCTAGACAAAAACAGCAAAATAAAACACTAACTCACCACAATACACCAAAACACTTTTACTTTTACACTGGACGCGCGTTTCGCTAACCATGTTAGCATCATCAGCAGATGACATGGTTAGCGAGACGCGCGTCCAGTGTAAAAGTAAAAGTTTTTGGTGTATTGTGGTGATTTAGTGTTTTATTTTGCTGTGTAACACCAAAGGTTCCAACCCTCAACTGTAATAAATTTTAGACGTAACAATATTTGTGTATAGAAACGGACATGACTAACAAAAAAAAGTATATTATTTTAAAATAGGGACTTTCGACTAATAATAATTAAAGGACGTTTATGACTAAGAGTTTGGTCCGGCGCGGCGGGCAATTGCTTTTAAGGGCAATGAATGTTTTTAGAAGCCCTTGATAGTGGGAAAAACTTGATACAGATTGTCTTTCTTTATAGTGGGAAAAACTTGATACACAATGTTCCTTCCGTTAATTCTGGCCTGCAGAGTAAATTGTTTTGGATAAAAATCACTTTGAATGCGCGTTTTCACGTGGCAAGTGAATTGATCAAGTCACTGAAATTCAACTCACTTGAAAGCACATTTCAAATCAAAAAGCTTCTGCTAGTTGATTCAAAATGGCGATTGCCTAAAGCCGTACTTCAAACTGCCAAAATTTTAACAACAGAATTGACAAAGCGCTTAAAGTACTTTAAGTTAACGATTCATTTATCTGCTAGTGCTAATCTGAGCGGTGTCTACTTTGTTAACGCGGAATCCGAACCGCGGACCTCGGTCAATGATCTACGGACTTGGCGAGTGTCTAAATCGACTTTTAAGCCAGGGACACATTGTTCTGACGTGTTGTGTTGTGTAACGCAAGTTTACATACATCAAACAGCTTATTTCCTTTGCATTTAAATGAAATGCGTGCACACTCAGTGACTGACTGGTGATGTACCCAGTACGACCAATAATGACATACACTGCAGAAACTCGACCTGATATAGCAAAAACTAAATAACTACTAGATACAGGGATAGAAATGAAAGCGTAAGAAGAGCATGCAAGGTGGAAAATGTAAATGAGTGGGTACTCAGCAGAAAGAAAGAATGAAACGAGCATATCAGCAGAATGTACAACAAAAGGATAGTGAGAGTTTCACGCGACAAATCACCGCTAGGTCGCAGGAGCTTAAGACGTCCACGAAAACGATTGTTTATTTATTTTTTTCTGACCAACTATTACTTACCGCCATTTTAAAGACACCACATGAGCGTCAAGAGTTAAATGAGAAAATTAATCAACTGGTCGAGTTTAGACGGTCATATTACATTCATAAGAAATGAATTCAGTTGACTTGATCAGCTGACTTGACTCGTGTAAACGCACCTTTAGTAATTATTATTATTTTTTTTTAAATTTTCACTCTAACCTATTTGACCAGTGAATGTGCTGTCGATTTGACGAAATATGGTTTGCAATCTATGATATATCACGGGTTTTCTCTATAATTTATTTGTATAATGTACATTTATAGTAAAAAATGGATCTAAAACCTCTGTGACGGATTGATCTCCCCAAAAAATCTTATAGGTATTTCGCCATTGTAAGAAAATCTACAAAATAAAATAGTTATTTTCTGTAAACATTGCTGCGTTAATCCAACGGAGACTTATATCAAGTTAAACTCATTGGCGTAACTACAGGGGTGCCGGGGGGTGCCCCCCCCTCCCAGGTACTGCTGGGCACACCCCAGAGAAATCCTGAATTATGACTCTTGGCTACCTATTAATTTTTATTTGCTTGTGATGCAGTAAAAATGACGTTTTCTAGTTTTGTTTAGTTAATATTATTTTGTTTGTTAGGCTGGGTGAGGTTAAAATGTGTTAATTTTTATTTTTTTAGCAAATTTGTAGGTATTTAAGTAATCTACGAGAACACGGTTTGATAACCAAGTCTATGAAATTTATTGATAGAGAAATTCATGTAAACGTTTTATTCAAAAAAGGTGTTTTTTAAAATTATTTTTCATTTTTAAAAAAACAAAAGCCCTAAACCTCCCCTGGCCTCAACACCAGCCCCCCCCCCTTAGGCTCTCCCCAGGATAAATTTCTAGTTACGCTAATGGTTAAACTTCAAAATTAACAATTACTTAATAAAGCAAAACCAAAAAGCTTCAAACTTTCTGTTTGATTATTTTTTAATTTGATTTTAATTTTTACGTATGTTATGTCCTTTAAAATCAAAGAAGCGATTGCCATACATTACTAACATCTATAGATACATGAGCAATACATTTAATTTTTTTAAAAAGCCTCTTTTATTTTTCTTTTAGAAGTTATCGCTTCTTTCATTATAATTTTTGCGTTGTTAGATCTACCCTGTGTCCTGTGTTATATGAATGCTGACAAATCTTAGATTTGTGGAAATCGCCCTTTCTTAAATAATATATTTTTGTTCTTTAATTCGAACATTTAAGGGTCTAGAAGTTTCACCAATATAAAATGTATCACATTCACATGATATTTTGTATATAACGTTTTTTGTTTGTTGTCCAGTGTTCACTGGTTTAGTGTGTGTTAAAACGGATCTCAGTGTATTTTGTGTTTAGAAGGATGTTCGTATGTTATATTGTTTTCTTGTCCTTCTTCTATCTATATGATTTGGGGTTTGTATTTCTTTTAATGTTTTGTCAATAAAAGATGGTAGATAATCGTTTTTTATTAATGTATCTATTTTTTATATGGTTTATATCTCCTAGCTGTTATATACATTTATAGTCTTTAAAAATCTTAAAAAAACTCTAAAATACCTACCAGATATTTTCTAATAATGCACTCTTGGTTCTAGTTGACAGGAACGTAACGATCAGAGGCTGTGATGCAGCAGAAACCATATTCTACGGAGCTGTCTTCAGTGCTTGTGATTATAACAATGCCCTGTACGAGGGATATATCATCAATTTCTCATGCATTGCTTGCGAGGGAGAGCTATGTAACGCTGTAACGCCCGCTGAAATAGTAGAAGAAGTAGAAGATGTAGAAGAAGTAGAAGAAGTAGAAGAAGAAGGTGCAGGAGAAGAAAATGAAGATGAACAACAGGGCGACGCAGGCGGCAGTGCAGACGTTATGTCCATTTCTGCACGTTTTATTATTATTACAGCATTGGCACTTATTATGCTTTGAACCTAATCTATGTAATAAAAATATACATACCTTATGAGACGCCTTTTTAAATTTTCCTCTTTAAATCACGACTATGCAGGGGTTATCACGACATAATCACGATCATTTGTCACATTAGCCGCCATTATCTAAAAATCTTTATAAAATTACAGATAACTGTAATATATATATATATATATATATATATATATATATATATATATATATATATATATATATATATATATATATATATATATATATATATATATATATATATATATATATATATATATATATATATATAACCAAGGATATAACTGTAATAGACGGTCCACAACTTTTATTTAAACTTTTTTTCTAGTTCTTATACCGTTTCTCCGAAATTTCGAAAAAATAAATTTATTTATTTATTTCACCCCTTCTCGGGGGTGAAATAATCATAAATACATAATAAAATAAAATCCAAACCAAAACTCCGTATTTAAAAGCCTATTTTCTTGGATTACATCACTAAAATTGAGATTTTTTCTTTAATTTTATTTGTAGAATGTTCATTAAGCTTTTAGAAGTATTAAATAACTGTAGAATACTAGCTAGTTTATAATAAAATGTGTTATTGGTTTCAGTTGACAGAAATGTAACGAACAGAGGCTGCGATGTACTACAAACAGTAATATACGGATATTCCTATACTACGTGCGATTATTATGACTTGATGTATTCGAGTTATATCACGAATTTTGAATGCTCAACTTGCCAAGGGGCATTGTGTAATGCTGTCGTGGCGCCCGCTGAAGTGATCGAAGAAGATGAAGAAGAAGTAGAAGAAGTAGCAGAAGATGAACAACCCGGCGGCAGCGGTGCGGACATTATGTCCATTTCTGCAAAATTTGTCATCGTTACAATACTAGACAATACTAGCACTTATTATGCTTTGAACTTAATATAATAAATAAATATATTATAATGCTTTATTATGAGCCTTTTTTAAATTTTCCTCCTTGCGTCAGCACCATCAAATAACTAAAATATTGTAGATCATCTGTCTACTTCTGATATGTTTAAATTATGTTTCACGTATGTTTTATTTGTTTTAAATATATTGAAAGTTCATATAATTTTTCTGGAAATAAACGTGAAATTATTTCTTTGTTTAAGTCTGTACAATGAAAACCGAAAAACACTAATGAATCTATCATTCATGACCAAATATTATCTGTACTCTATGATATATCAGTGTTTCTTCCTATATTGTAGTATTTGTATAATGTACATTTAGTCTTTAGAAGTCTTAAATTACTGTAGATTACTAGCTGTTTTGTAATAATGTACTGTTGGTTTTAGTTGACAGAAATGTAACAATCAGAGGTTGTGATGCAGCAGAAACCATATTCTACGGAGCTGTTTTCAGTGCTTGCGATTATAATAACGCCCTGTACGAGGGTTATATCATCAATTTTTCATGCACAGCTTGCGAGGGAGAGTTATGTAATGCTGTAACGCTCGATGAAAGAAGAAGAAGAAAGAGAAGTAGCAGAAGATGAACAGCCCAACGGCAGCGATGCAGACATTATTTCCATTCCTGCAAGATTTATTATCGTTACAGTATTGGCACTTATTATGCTCTAAAAACTTAATATAATAAATAACAAATATTATTTTATTATGCGTCTATTTAAATTTTCCCTCCTCTTTATCTTTCAGTCAGCTCCATCTATCGCATTAGACTTAAACGGAAGCTCTGACAAGCTACCGATAACTGTAATATTTTCAAAATCCTTGTGTTTAATTTTGACATGTTTGCATTTATTTGTTTTGAATATTTTGAAATAGTTCAAAAATCTTTGGTTCAAGGATAAAAAGTTAACTCATTTTTATCTTTAATTTGCATTAATAATGTAAAAAACAACACATTAATTTTATTGTTCAAAAGGTAATACAGTATTTGCCATTAATAAAAATGTTAAAAAAAGCACTGTTGAAGATTCTAAAAACCAAAAATTTTACAAGATTTTATTCGCAAAAATCTTCTCATAGTGAGCTATTTTTTAATTATTTAGAAGGAAATCATGAAGGAATAGCTATTTTAGGTAAATAAATAATTACAAATAAATCAAGTAGGTAGTTTAAACTAGTTTTTTAGGTTTAAATAGGCCAGAACAAAGAAATGCGTTTAGTGTTAATTTAGTTGATTCTTTAAGCAAAACTATAGATAAATTAAGATACGATGGTACTGCTAGGGTGATTATACTAAGGAGTATGGTTCCTAAAGTATTTTGTGCAGGTAAAATTTAACACTCAGTAGTATTAGTAATGCTGTTATTAATAAATGTTCAAATCAGGGGCAGATTTGAAAGAAAGAGCTGTGATGACCCCTAAGGAAGTTTCTAGTTTTGTTACAAATTTAAGAGGAGTTATGTCAAAATTACAGAACATTCCTGTTCCAGTTCTAGCTGCTATTGATGGCGTTGCAGTTGGTAAAAATCAAATTTTGTAATAATACGATATTTTTTGACTGTATTTTAATAATTGAAGGTGGCGGATTAGAAATATGCTTGGCCTGTGATATAAGAGTAGCCTCAACGGATTCCAAAATGGGACTGGTCGAGACCAAACTTGCTATAATTCCTGGTGCAGGGGGTACCCAAAGATTACCGAGAATTATCAATCCTTCTATAGCCAAAGAACTGATCTATACAGCTAAAGTAATAGATGGAATTAGAGCTCATGATATAGGTACATATAGAAATTCAAAAACCTGATAAAACAGCATTTTTTCAACCATTTTTGTATACAAATTACTTATTAACTCAGGTTTGGTAAATTATGTTGTCGAGCAAGAACCAAAAGGTGATGCAGCTTACCAAAAATGTCTTGAAATAGCTGAGGAAATTCTACCTAACGGACCTTTGGCAGTGCAAGTTGCTAAACAAGCTATAAACAAGGGAATTGAAGTAGATTTAAATACAGGTAACATTTTTTTGTCTTTTTTCTTTAAATATATTCATAAAATCAAATATTTTAAGGCCTGGCCATCGAGGAAGCTTGCTATGCTCAAATAATTCCAACACAGGATCGTATAGAAGCCCTAAGTGCCTTTAGAGAAAAAAGGAAACCAAAATTTAAGGGATTGTGATATATTTTTTATACTTATTGATATAAAATTTTAAAAATATATTTTTAATACTTTGTATAAGTTATAAATTAAATAATGCCTCTAATTGTCTTTGGGTATCTTGGGGATTTAACACTTTGTGTCCGATTGTGCGAGAATCATTAAATATCTCATAATCGTTTCCTCCTTTATAAACTTTATCACCAAAAAAGTGTATTTCATCAAAACCTATATAATAAAAATGAAATAAGTAATACGGCTACTCTAAAAAGATGTAAAATAAGATACCTTCAGGTTCCAAATGATTTAAGCAGAATGTTTTATCCCACCCTGTAGGAAAAGCATCAAAACTTATTTGTCCACCAATGGAGTAGGTGAATCCTATATCAGGAAATTCTTTTTTTAGGGCTTCAATCATCTTTTCTCGAATTTTTTCTTGCTTGTCATATATTTCAAACTCATCTCTTTCTTTCTGAGAACAATTTCTACCTTTTGAAGTAAAAATATAAAATTTTGCTCTGTAAAATTTCATTTTTTATACCTATAGGAGATATGTTCAACATCCCTGTCCGAAATTCAATGAAAGTTCCTCTTTTAACGGGCAGAACTATAGTGGAAAGATATCCAAGTACAAAATTTATAAATTTTTGCAATTTATCCTCTCCTATATGCTTCTGGATATTTTCTCTGCCTAAAATAAAGTATATGTCAGATAAAATATACAAATTGTGAATGGAAAACATGTTAATACTTTCTTCTTTTCCATTTTTATGATAGACTAGACCATTTTCTGAGAAAATATACTGGTATCGCTCAATAACATCTTCACCGCACATTTGTTCAGCAATTTTTTTGAAATCTGACCCGCCTACTAGACCTATATTAGAAAATATTCATTTCAAAATAAAAAAAAAATAAGTTTGAAGTACAAAGATTAAATTTGAACTCACCAATTGCACATAATGGTTTGAGTTTCTGCTGCAAAAATAGTTCAAACCTGGGGTCAATATCGTTTCTTGGCTTAGTAAGAGTACCATCAACGTCGAAGAGACAAATAATTTTTTTCGGCATTTTTTTCAGTTCACGATGTGGAAGCTCGCAAGTCACTGGTTATGCTGGTTTTTAATTTTTACATACGTTGTAAAAGATGTTAAAACTGAATTTAAGACAAAGCGAAATGCACTGTTAATTGTCGGTAAGTATTCATTCTTATCAGTTGGCTTTGGACACGTAAACAGTTTCTGTTTTTCATTTCTTAAATCAACAAAAACCAAAAACAAAATCCAAAATGAGGTTATGCTGAAATTAACAATTAGCCATAGATGAATAAAGACATTTATCCACCCCTATATCTATGATTCAAATTATCGGAGGAAAGTTAGAGCTGGGTCTGATTATCGATGTTTTAAAATATCGATATTTTCTTATGCCTCCATACAAAGACAAATCACATAGGCGTACTATACCGTGTTAAGTAGGGTTTTATTGTTTTGTTTAGCCGATGATGGAGGGTTTGAAATAGGAGCATATCGTAATAAGATATGTCAAACCCCAAACTTAGACGATTTGGCAAAGAACAGTTTGATTTTCAACAAAGCGTTTACATCTGTAAGCAGTTGTTCCCCTAGGTAAGTAAAAATAAGGTCTTGGATTACTTAAGAAAAATAAATTAATTAATTTTTAGTCGATCTGCTATTTTAACTGGAACACCATCGCATCAAAATGGAATGTACGGTCTTCATCAAGGTGTTAATCATTTTGATTCTTTTAATAATGTAGAGAGTCTTCCAAAGATTTTGAAGAAAAATAACATACGTACAGGTATATTTTTGGATTAGTAAAAAATTAAATATCAATTATATGACAAAATTTAGGTATTATTGGTAAGAAACATGTCGGTCCAGCAGAGGCATATCCTTTTGACTACGCCCAGACTGAAGAAAATAATTCTATTTTACAAGTTGGTAGGAATATCACTCACATAAAACTTCTAACACGCGAATTTCTCAATTCTACACTGGATAAGTATAATTTTTCATAAATTTAGATTTCATTCTAGATAAAAACTTTTGTTTTAAAAAAATGTTTTTAGGCCCTTCTTTTTGTATGTAGCTTTCCATGACCCACATCGCTGTGGCCATACCAATCCAGAATATGGACAGTTCTGCGAGAAATTTGGAAACGGCGAAGAAGGTAAAAAATCACTTATTGCTTGAAATATAAGATTTTTTAATATATATTTTTAAATAATAACAACAACTGCTCGCTACTGAATATTGGTTATGCCACCAATAATACGTTGAGTAATAATAATAATCACATCTATATCTCTGAATGAGACAGTATTATCCTTGTATTATTAAAAAATGGTATTATGGAATGCCCTTTTTGTATTCTTGATAAATTATTACATATTGTTTATATATGATATTATTTTATGAGAAAAGAGAAGACAAAAGCATTAGGATTCCATGTATTATTAGTTGTATTTCATAATTATTTACTAATCTCCTATAGGAATGGGTGTGATACAGGATTGGCAACCCATAGATTATCAGTGGGATGAAGTTCAAGTACCCTATTACGTTCCAAACACTGAAGCAGCAAGGAGAGATATTTCAGCTCAGTATACAACCATTTCCAGGTTAGATCAAGGTGGGTAATAGTTCAGTACACCACTGATTTCTACGGCTACAGAAAAACCTCCAGATCCCACATATCCATAATGTCAACGTTCTCAAATTTCCATATCGATATTTATTTTTTAGCCCATCTCTACTTTACCCTTAGTTTTTTTTTTCTTGTAGGTGTCGGCCTTGTTCTAAAAGAGCTAGAAAATGCGGGACATTTAAACGATACGTTGATTATATACAGTTCTGATAATGGAATACCTTTTCCTAATGGAAGAACAAACCTTTACGATTCAGGAATTGCGGAACCTATGTTTATTTTTTCACCGCTACATAAAAAAAGGCGAAACCAAGTTACAAATTCGCTTTCAAGTTTGCTAGGTAGAATTATATTAATTGTCTGAAGAATATGAATCAAACAATGATGTGTTTTAGATTTAGTTCCTACTTTATTAGACTGGTATGAGATAAATAAGACAGTAATAATCACAAAACAAATATTGACTGGTAAAAGTCTTTTGCCTCTTCTGGTTAAAGGTAAATTTTCATTCAAAAAATTTAAAATCAATATACTAAATATATTTTTTAGAGCCTGCTGATACATCAAAAGAAGCTGTTTTTGCTAGTCATAACTTACATGAAATAACCATGTATTATCCAATGAGAATGATACGAACACAGAGATACAAATTAATCCACAACATAAATTATGGCAGTTCATTCCCAATTGACCAAGATTTTTATCTGTCTCCTACTTTCCAAGTAAAAAATTCTTTTTTGTTACTTCCAACTAAATATCTTACTTACTTTTAGGATATTTTAAATAAAACAAAGGCCAACCAACCAACAGGATGGTTCAAAACATTAAAAAACTACTATGAACGACCTGAATGGGAGTTGTACGACTTAAAACATGATCCATCCGAAGTTATAAATTTAGCTGGGAAACCAAACATGGAAGATACTCTTCAAGAGCTAAAAAGTAGGCTCATAGATTGGCAGGGTAAAACTGAAGATCCATGGATTTGTGCTCCGCATGCTGTGTTAGAAGACAAGGGATATTATAAAAACAATTCCTTGTGTATGGATTTAGATAACTTATGGTAAAATAAAACTACTGTAGCATTTGAAAGAAAAATAAACAATTTTATTGTCACACAAACATATCTTGTATACAAACCAGGCGATAAATAAAATATATAATCATATTAACAACTCTACTTTCGTTAAATGTTAGTAATATAACAATTGATTAACAAAAAAAATCTTAAACGGAATTAGTATAACAGTAAAAGTTAGTTTGTTAGAATAACATGTATAATTTTGACTATAAAATATCTTTTGTGCTAGGTACATTTATAATATTTTTTAAGCTTATAGAAACTACATTCTTTTAGTATTTTTAAGATCCCCTAACTATCTAAATATAATAGGTATAACAAAATATATGTTTTTTATTATATTTTCCATAACAAAACTTTACTTAGGTTAGAAATTATTTGGTGTAAATATATTAGTTGTACTATGGTAATAATAAACTGGCCATCTCAAGAAAAAACATACAATTACAACAAAACAAAGATGGTATTTTGAATAATTTTAAAATCAACAAAATTTAACTGTTCGCTGTAAAAGTATATTTTTTCTTTAAACAAAGAAAAAAAGTAACAAGTACTTTGAAGATCTTATTATTTTCTTCTCGCTAACTACTAATAAAAAGGTAAGTCTTGGAGAAGTATAGGGTCAACTTACTTTAGAATGTGGCACAATTCGTTTTGATACTTTCTGCTCTAAACTATCCAAAGATGCCGAGGTAAGGTTGGCTATTTTCTCAATTTTCTTCATGTTGGTAGACAGATCATTAATCTAGAATAAATTGAAAACATATTATAAATAAGGACACTTTCTTATCAAGACATGAATCTTTCTAATAACATTTCCAAGACCCACCCTAGACTTATACTCGGCAATCCTTAAATTTCTTTGATGGTTTCTATACAAATATCGGCACTGAATTACAAATCCGACGATAAATAATAGGCCTAACAGTATATGGATATTGTTTAGTTGGAAAAATCTTCGGTGAAACACTAACATTCCAGTAACTTTCTTGCATTGTCGACAGTAATATAGTTATACATCTGCACTTTACGTAATAGCCAACCAATTGAAAAATTCCACTGGTACGCTAGAAAACTCTTATAAATGTTTAAAAATATTAGCAATTTAACAAGAATTCATTTTAAAAAAATATATTTATGTTATGTCAAATAAACCTAACCTCAAATCATCTGATTTTATTAGTGTTAGTGATGAGTAAAAAACGGCCATAGATATAAGGCAGGTGACTAGACCCCTGACTAGACTTTGACTAGACTGACTAGTGTACGTTTATTTAAAAATAATAAATATAAATAATATTATAATCTTTACTTCATATCAGAATTTGTAACAAAAAAAATGAGAGTATATTTTTGTTTTGATCTATTTAAGCTACTTATTTAAAAAAAAATAGTTAACCGGTTAAACATGGTAAAGTCGATACACAGAACACTTAAGTCGATATACCCCAATATACCCAATACTAGTTTTTATTTTTAGGTATTTGTTTTTGATCTGTGGTGTAATAGTAGTTATGATTTTTGATTTTTTTTTCTAATTCTAATTTTCGATTTAAAAAAATACAAAAAAGTTGGCGGTCTGGAATGACTTTTTAATTTTTTTTTGGCCAAAATAAACAATTCCTGTTACTTGTATTTACATAAATATGGAACTTCCAGATTTGATACAAGATTCTTTGCCAGCTTGAAGTTTTGACCTGGTTTTGTGTTTTAAAAAAATTTTTGGTAATTATTGGGAAAACTGGAAATCGTCCGATTTTTACCAAAATTGGTATACAAACTATTTTGAGGTCTCTTTTCTTGGCGGTCTCTTACCGTTTTTCAGAAAAAAACGGAAAATTATTTCAATATTGAATTTTTCTTTATTTGGGCCCTATAAAGTAATAATTTCACCAATTGATATATCCTTCTTTCTCTCTCCTATCTTTGTGCCTATGTAATGAGAGAGACAAATATATTCTAAACCTAATCTAGAAATTTGGAAATTTGCAACGTTGCCATATCTTCAATTTTTTCGGGTGATTAGGGATTTTAAATAAATTACCTATTATGAGATTGACAATAATTAAATATACCTACCCATATCCACGAAGTTACGCGGGAGAGTTTTGATTGCATTGGTTTCAACTTCTATGCGGAGGGGGTTAATCTTTTTTTTTTGTTATATTATATTTATAACCACGAAGTTGCAAGAAAGTTTTGATTGCATTATTGGTTACAACTTCCATGCGGAGGGTGTTAATCTTTTGTTGTTATATTATATAAAAAAAAGATTAGCCCCCTCCGCAAAGAAGTTATATAAAGACTATTCATAACCACGGAGTTGCACGAAAGAGTTTTGATTGCATTCGTTTTTACTTCTTTGCGGAGGGGGTTAATCTTTTTCTGATATAATATAACAACAAAAGATTAACACCCTCCGCATGGAAGTTGTAACCAATGCACAAAACTCTTTCGTGCAAGTTCGTGGTTATAAATAGTCAGATCTCGTTGGTAAAATAGTTGGTAAAAAAGGAGCCGTTCTTCTGGCGACCGCCTTTCGTAATCACAGAATGAGCGGAAAAACGCCCTAAATTTAGGTTTAGCCAGAGGGTTTAGCATTGGCAACGTTGTTTTAAATGTCAGAAACACATAACCCAACATTTTCAGATTGTTTATAAATTTATTTTAGCAAATTTTCCTCTATTGCATAGAATTTGTTAAAAAAGTAACAGAAAATAGCAATAGCATCGTTGTTTATTGAATACCTAACGAAATATGTGCTAGAAAACCTTAAAAATAAGAAATTAAGAAAAATTCAATGTTGAAATAATTTTCCGTTTTTCTGAAAAACGGTGAGACCGCCAAGAAAAAACTTCAGATTCGTAATCTACGACCTCAAAATAGTATGTATACCAATTTTGGTGAAAATCGGACGATTTCCAGTTTTCCCAATAATTACCAAACTTTTTTATGACTTGGAGTTTTGGTAAGGAATTGTTAATCTAAGGTAAGGAACATGTGCTGGGAATTAGGGTAGAAATGAGAACAAACATTTATTTTCAGTTGAATAGAAGTTAGGTATATAGTGTTTTCTTTATTTTCTTCCTATTGTGATTAAAGAAAAAAACAAATAGGTAGGCAATGGATATCGACATTGATATATCAACATTAGAAATCAAAGAAAATGAAAGGAAGCGTAATCACAGTGAATTATCACCTAGTAGTAGTAGTACAAGTAATTCATTGCATCAAGATGAAAGTAAACAGAATGATTTGAACCCCAGAAGATCATTAAGGAAAAGAATAAGACCATTAGAACCTACTATAGAAAATTGTCGAGTGTTAAGAAATCCTAGAAAATTAAGTGTAAGTTAAGTTCTTTTTAATGGTAGTAGGAATAAAAAATATTGCTTATAATATTTTTAGATTAATAGTACAATGAAGGACGTACAGAATTATTATTTAGACAAAAGAATAAAGTTGAATTCACAGGCATTGGAAACAATATTTGAAGAGCCCCAAAAAGAGTTATATATGAGCTCCAAAAAATTGAGAAGGTGTATTAATTTTATCAACGTCTCTCATGAGAAACCGAATAAGGCGAAGGTAAAGAAGAGAGTCCTAAAAGCTAAGAAAACAAATAATTTTAAAAAAGTAGTAAAAAAAATTGATATGGATCTTCTTTTATCAAAGCTGGCTGTATTAGATAATGCAAATGAGTCTGAAGATTAGGAATTTATTGATATTTTGTAAATATACATGTTTTGATATTTAAAAGTTATTTAATTTGTTTAAATATCCCGCCTTCCTAATTGATAGCAGCGCCCCTGTCTGTTCGATATGTCATTAATGGCTTTAGACGCCATTTTATCCAACTTCTCGCAGGTTTTCGTATCGAGTGAAGTTGCGTTCTAATATTCAAAAATTCAAATAAGTAACCAAACTTTTTAGTTTTTTGAATTATGTACTTTTTTTATATTAATTCTTTATTATAAATTTATAGTGGACTATATTGAAGGTAATTACGTTCTGTGATTATTTACACCTTGCCTTTTCTGTGAAGCGTGGCAGAAAAATGGCGCCTTTGGCTCTAAATTGCCCTTTGTGCTGTAACGAAACTTTTCCTTCCCATGTCTCATTGAAATATCACCTTTTAAGTATGATAGATAATTTATTTTGCCCGTCGTGTAACGAACGATGCGACGACTTAATGGATTTAGCAGATCATTTAGGCAGGGAGTGCACAAACCTGCCAAAAGAAAAAGAACCATTTCCATACCCCTTGGTGCAGTACGGTGAAAATGTAGATCAACCTAGCGAAGAAGCTACACATAATAATTTGATTCAAGAAAAGGATATCAAAAGAGAAGCTGGGGAAGAAGCTACCGAAAATTTAAATTATAACACAGGTAGTATAGGTATAAGTTTAAGTTTGTGTCTTGTTACTTTCAAGAGTATTTAATCTAGAGTTTGATAATGAAATTACTGAGAATGGCAATGAAGAAGAAAACGCTGAAGATCCTTCTACCTTGCTCTATACATGCCAAATGTGCAACATGAGCTTCAATTCAGTTAAAGAGCATTTGGCTTTATACCATGAAGGAGAAGAAGTTGTATTAGTTAGTTGTATAATCAAATAATAATTGTATTATGTGTATTATATTATGTATGTTTTGTAGGAAGGTAATGAGGGAAATGGGGAACAAGTGTTAGTCTATGAAGGTGAACATGAAAATATGGAAGTAGATAATACAGATGATTTAGAAACGTAATGTTTTTTTCGACTGTTATACATGATTTACTAAAATTTGTTGTTTTAGGTCTCAATCTCAGAATAATGAAAGCATATCAGAAGAGAGCACAACAAATTTAGATGAGCCTGAAACTTCAAATCCTATTACAACTAAATATATTGTTGAGAATGGTAAATAAATAAATCAAAATAGAATATTTCTTATACATATAACCCTTTTCAGGAAATGTGAGAAAAATATCAGAAGAAGAAGCTTCCGAAACAGCAGATTTATCATCTATAATTGAAGTACACTGCTGTTCAAATTGTAAATTGCAGTTTCCAAATTTGAACCACTTTTGAAAACACAAATGTAATAATGCCAAACATATTAAAAATCTAATAAAAAATTACCTAAGGTACCAACGACATATTTTTATTTATTATATTATCTTATAATTAGTATTAAATTAAAATTTAAAGGTTAAAGAGACACTCAGTTACCAGTGTACATTTTGCCAAGCGATTTACGCAAGTTTGATTGCACTGAATGATCATATGAAAGCGCATCTAGTCCACGATGAAACAGGTAACTGTTTTTTAACTATTCCTTTAGATATAGTTGGTTAGAATGGTTGATTTTTTAGGATTGGTTCAGAAGAAAAAGATAACAATGTCTCTGCATGTCTGCGAGGTATGCAACACAAAGTTTCCTTCGTTCAAACAGCTGAGGCTACATAGCCGGATGCATGATCCGGTGAAAACTAAAAAGGTTTGTTAGGTTTATTTTGTGACACTTTTATGTTTTGAAAAAGCATATTTTGAGATTGCTGTCCCATTTGACATTCTCAAACACAATGACTTAAAGAATTCGAGGACCAATAACACTAGGGACCAAATTGTTACCTTGACATGAAAGTTCTTTGGGTATTATCCTTGTTTATATATTCTTAAAGTTGCTCAACCGACTAGACAAAATGTGCTGCCAACTGGAGGACAAATCGTGAACCTTTCGGGGCGGAGTCAAAAAATATCGATTATTTTCGTTATTTTCCTCAGAGTAATGTAATAATATAGCCCGGGTTTCTGCGAACTTTAATAGTGATCAGCTGATTATAAATTTTAACGAAACTTTTATTTTATTGTAAATTGTGGATTATTTTTGCCTGTTATTTTAAGAATTCTAAACCGTATTAACAAAGAAATTATTATTTTGATATATTGGTACATTATTTATGATTTATGATAATGCTAAGTGCTGTTAATTAATATTAAAAAAAAGTTACATACCGATTTTAATTTGATTTTAATGCAGGTTTATAAAAGAATCATTTCATTCTTAGATTATTTTATTCTAAATTGAGTGCTTTACGAATTTTACGAAATTTTTTTTTTGAAAACATAAAATTTTTTACATTTTTGATGCCAACTAATTGGTATGGTATTATTGGTATGGAAATTAGCCAAGAGAGAAAGGGAATTGGCTATAACTTGTAATTTTCTGAAAAAAACATATTATACCTATATCGCTGAAAAGCTTAAAAATGGCGCTTTTATGAAGTCATGGCCAACGATGGTTTCCATTCAAAAAAAAACATAATGTTTGTGTCATATGTCAAAATGACAGGTTTTAGAAAAAAAAAACAGAAAACACAAACTCATTAGGTATGTGATTATCTACAACTTTTATCTGAAAACTTTTGTCTAAAATACCGTATGATCGAATAAAAACGGCGCCAGCGATGGCTATGAAATGACGATCGATGATATTTCGCATATAATTTTTTTCATACGGTAGATTATAATGGAATTAGAGACAAGTTTTAAAATAGCCAAAATTTTTTTTTTTCGAAATATCTAGTAAGCCTTGAACTTCTCCGAAAAACCCGAAAGGCACATATTTATGACCCCGCAAAACTGTAATTCTTTCCCCATTTAACCGACTCTATCTCCAGTAGTTTCCGAGATACCCATAGAGAACATCGTAGGAAACTCACCCTGTATAGTATTTAGAAACTAACTATTATTATTGTTTGACTAGATTAATTTGATTAATAAGACTCGATTAATTTAATTTAAAATAAATTTGATCAGATTTTTTTTTTCGTATATTCTACTATCAGAAAACCAAAATTATATGATAACGCACTTTTCAACGAAGTTGAAGGAAGATATAGTGTATCTATCACAATACTTAATAGAATTACTACAATTAGAAGAAAAACAAAAAGAAAAAATACCCAAATACCTTCACCCTACTCATCTACAAAATAAACTAATATAATCTCTTATAAAAACACTACACAACTACTTCTTGTATTCTACACTGAAAAAATTATCAAACTTATTAAAAAATTAACAACTAATTAATCAAACAAAAGAAAAAATAACCAAATTATCCTTCACCTACTACTTAACTACAAAATAATAAACTATAAAACACTACTAAACTATTTCTGGTATTCTACACTAAACATTATAATTAAACTTAATAAAATTAATCTAATTTTACACTACAACCACTACAAAGAAATAAGAACATTTTTTAAAAACTAGAAGAAACAGAACTTCGATACGTGCGACCAGTATATAGATCAAGTGGACAAAGAATATAAAATACTTCAAAACTGTGCATTCAGAAAGAAAAAATATCTCGAAAATTATCTAAACAAACATTTTTTTTCTTATCAGTGAAAAGCATCGGCCTGTCGGCCTTGCGGAATTTGTCGGGTATTTACAATGGTCGAATTGTATAATTACTAACTTTTATAGCATATCCTAATAGACAAAAAGTATCTGGTCGATTAGTAACCAATTGGCACAGTCCGAAAATTATCGATTTTTATTGTAATTCAGAGTAACAAAAATATTTTTCTGTAGTAAAAGCAAATAAAAGACTGTGAAATACGTCCCGCCATCTGGTGCTTTACATCCTTAAACGTCTTAGGTTGAGCTACTTTAAAAATTCATATACAAGGGTATTATAGAGGGATTAATATAAAAAAAAATAATTGTCACCAGTGGCGGCTCGTGGTTATTATTGTAGGGAGGTCAATATCTAAAAATATTACGTCGATTTTTGAATCTTTTTTTGAATTTTTGGTCGCGAAGACGCGACCAAATTTGGTTTCTTAGAAGGTACTGGTACGTTTAGTTAAAGGAAAATAAATTGCATTGACCATTTGACCTCATGGTTAAGCCGTCACTGATTGTCACAAATATTTTTTTTAAATTATTCAATGACTACAATACTCCTCCTGGAATAGCTTGAACGACCCTGTATACAAATTATTTCATAGGTAGACCCTCCAGTTTCTTACAATATTATGGGCGAGGGTAAAAATGAAAATCAGGAAAATGCAGAAAGAGAAGTTTTTCATTGTCCAGTTTGCAACAAAATATATGATAAAGAATACGAGACAGTCCATTTAAAATCACACGCAGTGCAACAAATAAATATTTGTTACGTTTGTAACAGGAGATTCGAAAACAAGGATAACTTAGAGATGCATATGAAAGGTAAAAAGATTTCCTTTATAATGTACTTTTTTCAAAATAAAAATATATACAGGTAGAGACATAATATAGGCGATTCTGAAAATGTATAAGTATTAACTCTTTAAATTTTCAAAGTTAAATTGTTATATATATTTAATTTCTTTATTGCTATAATCATTTAATTTCTATTTATTTTATAAATGCTAATTAGGGAAAATGTTTTTTTTGTTCAGATTTACCGTCCCTTAAAACTCTCACCCTGTATACAGGGTCCGAATTGTATTCCGGAAACTTCGGCAGTATATTCTGCAGATAAAAATAAGTAAAAAACTTCGTATGAATGTATGTTCTAAATTGCTTAGTTTCGGTGATACAGGGTGGAGAAGTTTCATATTTATTTCGAGTTTTTCTAAATAACTTCTGAAGTAACGTCAATATTTGGATGAGAAACATCTCGAGAACCAATTTTCACCAAGAACCTTTTTTACGTAAAAAACGTCGTAAATGTCTATTCTTTTACTCAGTCCTTTTATACAGGTACGGAAGAAAAGTTATTATTTTTCAAATCAGTTAAAAAATATGTAGGTGGCAAGAACGGTAAACTAATAGCGCTTCAGCTGATAGTTGTGACGTCATTGTAGTCCTTGTCATGATAGTGTGTATTATTAGTTGCCTATGGTAAACTTATAAAAATAACAGCTGAGAAATTTTGAGTTATATTATTTTGTCAATTTTAAATGTGAAAAAGGTGTTTTTAAAGTTTTTAGAGCTTTAAACGGCCTACACACGTAACGATTTATCGTACTGCGCGTTGAACTGCAGATCGTAAAGAAAATCGTACGGCTTGCAGTACAGCCATTTTTTGTACACACGATGCAACACATTGTACTGCCGCAGTTCAGATTATTCACTTTTCGTCGAGAAGGGCTACCGTTATGTCAAGAATTTCAAAGAAGGAAGCTGCCGTGCTTGTAGCTGCGGTATTGCTGATAGATGAAGATATTGAACAAAATAAATTAAAAGCGAAATGGTGTAAAAGTGGTTGCTGGAGAGAAATATTTTTGTTTTCATTTTATTTGCATAATCTTTTGATTTCACGTCCCATAGGCATCTATTTCTCTATATAAATTAATAAAGTCTTCCCAGAACGTCTTATTTTTTCAATACATAATATTGATTAAACCAAAAATAAATAAAAATTATATCGTAACTGCGCGCTGCGGCAGGGAATACACTCCACGCGTTCAAACCCCACCCCAGACACGACCCGTTGATACGATATTTTACGGAAGCTCCGTACTGCAAACGATTTGACGACTGCATACTGCAAACAATCCAATTTCCCTATACACGCTACGATTTATCGTTAATGAGGCAGTTTCGATGGATATCGTACTGCATGCAGTACGATAAATCGTTACGTGTGTAGGCCGTTTTAGAGTGTATAAAATACGTTCATTTTGTGTTGTGGATTGTGACAAAGTGCTTACTAAATGCCTACGATATTGTTTATTAATTATTTTAAAGCAAAATATGGAAGTACTCTAAAAAGAATACCTACAAAAGGTGATGCTGGGAACTGCTGTTCTTAAAAATGCATTATCCGAGTATTTAATACGATTTATACAGTTAATTTTCTATACTGCATACATATAAGGTGTTTAAATAAATAAACTAAATAATGAACGTTTTGCATCCAGCAACCAATAATGCACGTGTGTTTATTATTGGTTGCCGGATAAGGACTAATAGCCTTGACAAGAACTACAATGACGTCACAAAGCAAGGAGTTTTCGCATGCACCTGGCTGATACTTTTGGCTGAATGAGCAGTCCTATTAGGTTAACTGTGCTTGTGTGGGTGGCGCCCATTACAAATACGAGTCAAATTGAGATCAAAATAAAATTTCTCATATCAAAAAACTGCCAGGCACCAATTTTCATCCAAATATTGACGTTACTTCAAAAATTATTTCGAAGAAATCGAAAAAAAAAAATGAAACTTTGTCACCCTGTATCTCCGAAACTAAGCATTTTAAGACGTACATTTATACGAACTTCTTTACTTAATATAGTTCGGACCATACCCTGTATACTTTTTTAATTAATTTTTTTTATTTATTACTTTTTATTTCTTTTTTAACTTTAGCACACACAGGAACAAAAAAATTCGCCTGTTCTTACTGCAAGAAACCCTTCACCAATTACGACGCTTTAGAGTATCACGTGGTGAATCAGTGTCACAAACGTCAGTACGAATGTCAGTATTGTGGCAGGCGATTTGCACGACCTCATGAAAAGGTTACTTTAAAAATTATTACAATACAAATAATATTGTATATTTTTATAGGTGAAACACGAAAGAATTCACACAGGCGAGAAACCGCACGTTTGCCAGATTTGCGGTAAATCCTTTAGGGTTAGTTACTGTCTAACGTTGCACATGCGCACTCACTCAGGAAACAGACCGTACTCTTGTCAACATTGTGGTAAAAGGTAAATTTTTATGCCATCTTATTTTTTACGATTAATTAAAAAAACCTACTCTGTATCGATCTCATTATTGTTTTGTATTTACTATACAATCGAGGAAAAAAAGGGCGTCATGGTGTGCTTTGAAATTATTTTAATTTTAAAGGCTACCGTGACGTTTTTTTATTATTTTATTTTAGGTTTAAATCGCATAGTGTTTACAACCATCATTTGTTGACGCATTCGGATGAGCGTAACTACAAATGTCCATTTTGTGCTAAAGCATTTAAAACAGCTGTACAACTTGCCGGACATAAAAATAGGTAAATAACAATTTATAAAGTAAATACTTTTAATGTTATTTGACCAAACACAGTCTGCCTTTCCTGATTTTGAAATTGTTTTTCATTTTATTTATTTATCCTTTGCTAATTTTAAAACGTATTTTTCGAGGGTATATATTATACAGGGTCTCTTTTAAATCAAGGCAAGTATTTTAAAACAGTAGATACATAATTTCTGTTTATTATTTTAAAAACAAATCTTGTCTTATATAATCTATATACATATATATAAATCTGTAAGTCCTGATTCATACATCACTGACTCATCAACGCCTAGACCAAACCCTTGACTCTAGAAATCTGAAATTTTGCACAGGTTCATCCTCTAAGGGGGTAAAAAGGGGGGTGGAATATTACAAAAATTTTTATTTAAAAAACGGTCAAGTTTCCGGAAAAAACCCTTAAACACGTATATTTTATTTTCTTTTTTTACATATTTTAAGATTTTTTAAAAATGTATATAAGGTGTTTCGAAAAATCTGGTCATTGTTTAATCACGATCCTGCTTAAAGCGCTTGACGTAAAAAGCTGATTTTTGGAAAACGGATTGACTTTAGGGTGTAGAGGTTCGATAAGAAGGGATTTTTCGAAACTCGAATTCTAAGGGGGTGAAACTATCCCTCAAATATTAAAATGGTTTTCATTTAAAAACCGGTGAGTTTTTCGGAAAAACTCTTAAACACGTATATTTTATTTTGTTGTTTTACATATTTTAAGATTTTCTAAAAATTTATACAGGGTGTTTCATAAATATCACCATTGAGTAATCACGATTCTGCTTAAACTGCTTGACGTTTAAAGCTGATTTTTGGCAAACGGATTGACTGTGGGGTGTAGGATGTAGAGGTTCGATAAGGAGGGGTTTCTAGAATCTCAAATTCCAAGAGGGTGAAAACGGCCTTCAAATATTACAATATTTATTATTTAAAAAACGGTTAGTCTTTCGGGAAAACGCTTGGACACGAATAATTTATTTTGTTTTTTTACATAATTTGAAATTTTTTAAAAAATCATACAGGGTGTTCCAAAAAGTTGGGTAATTGATTAACCACGATTCTGCTTAAACTGCTTGACGTAAAAAGCTGATTTTTAGCAAACTGATTTTTCGAAAGTCAAATTCCAACGAGATGAAACTACCCCTCAAATATTACCAAGTTATATAATAATATCGCCATATTGTCTTTTTCTCATGCTGACATATGTAAATGTGAGAAAATTTTATCCAGTTTGTATGTTAATGGAAATTCTTGCTTTGGTTTATCATCACCATTTCAAATGATTAATTCGACGCGAACGAAGTCGTGGGTACATGCTAGTAACCAATATATGACGACTGTTTATGCTGTACAGTATATCTACAATGAATAGAGTAAATAATTGTTATAAAAAAAACTTTTAAACAGAGAAACAAACTTTTATACAGAGAATCTGACATAAAGCAAAATGTGAGTAACATAGAAGGTGGCAACATTGCAACGTCTCAAGTACACCGCCAAATAAATTTCAGGAGAAAGGATCTGGCCGCACAAAAATTTTCTTTAAAAATTTCTAGAAAATTTTTGAGAAGTTTTCATTAATTTTTATCAAAAATAGCTCACGGACGTGTTTTCGGAGTTGCACTATAACTACAAGTTAAAATACTAATAATATTTAAAAGACATCCTGTATCTTAACTCGAGTAGTGCAAATATACCACCAACAAGAGTTTGGTAATATTTTAGCCATACCAAACCGTTCCTGTGCAAGGAATGTAACAGGCCCTTCGCCTCATTGTACGCTGTAAGAGCCCACATGGAGACCCACAAAAGGGACAACAATCTGAGGTTTGACTGTTACATTTGTGGAGCAAGCTATGCAAGATCATTTGCTTTGAGGGATCACATGCTTTCGTCTCACGGAGAAAATTCAACAGGTAAGAATAAACAGCCGAAAGTGGTTAGGTACAGTCTGCCTAACGACAAGATCCTTGACAGTGATAGATGTGTCTGTCATTTTAATTTCAAAGTAGTTTATTTTATTTTACAAAGAAATAAGTTGGTACAATTGGAACGCATAGTAGGAAATTAATATATTGTAGCATTTTATTTAAAATACACATAATTTATATAAATGTACAGAATTATTTTATTTAAATGAATCAAGTTTAAGTCCTCGCACGGAGATGGCATTCTAAGTACTGCTATTATCTTTTATTTTTTTCTTCAAGTTTATTTCTGGCGAAATATTTCAGTCCGGTCGAAGTTTGTTGGTCACTTTATATCTGACGGTGTATATGTCACATTTCGTGCCTACCTTCCCTCGCCATATTGGTGGTAAAGGCTCAAACCGATAGAGCTATCGGCGTTTGTTGGCATTTTGCCAATTTGTTTGGGAAAACCCTCTGAGCAGAGGGTTTTATTTTATGGTACGCATTTTGTTTTATGGTAGCATTTTCTGGTGCCATTTTTTTTTGTACCTGACATTTGGGCCACGTTTTGTCTCTACATAAGAGACCGGTACGTAATACCTGTATTCTGAGTTGATTTCTCAGTTCTCAACTTAGAAGTTTTCGAAAGTAAATGGAAAACTGAGTGGCGCCCAGTATATTATAAAGACGTAAGTATCACAATTTAATTTTCACTAGCTTACGACCCATTGCTCACCGGCGAACAGCTCCGTCGCATAGTATTAGTTGTTTTAATATTTTTTCCAAAAGAAAATTCTTATAAAAAAACATTCCATCATTTTTTTATAACTTCTAATGCTACAATATTTAAAATTCGACTGACAAGTGATTACTTCAAAATAATGTGAAAAAAAACTTATAAAACCGAAAAAATGTAATCGAGTTATTTTATTTAAAAAAACGGTATGTGTTAATACAAAACAAACGAGAACAAAACACCACACACCAAAAAAATATAAAAAAGAACTAGTTCTGACTTTCAAGCTTCAAGAAACTTCCCGCATTTATTATTATATTTATCAATACAACTTATGTATAAATACAAATTTGTAATATTCCACAAGAATAAATAAAACAAACTATTTTGTTAATAATGACACTTACCAAATTTAATACCTTGGTTGATTAATTAACCGGTACCTTTTGACATTATTTTTCTGTAGTACTAAAATCCATTATTTACCTATCGTGTGATGTCGATATTTTACAGCTACTCCAGTTTTTAGTATATTATGGTTTAGTATGATCCTTGTACCATAAAATAATTAACTAGAAAGAAGTGTCAACTCTGTGTTAAATCGTGGAAACACGATACGCCACCGAAAGCCTTCGTTGTCGTCTGGAGAACTAATTTTCCAATTGACAGGTTGACATGATGACTTCGTTTTTATTTCCGTTTCCGGTTATTCAATGGCGGGTCCTCTTTCAGTTTAAATGTATTTTGTACTCTTTCTTATAAATAAAACAAAACAAAATTTTATTCAAACATATTTATTTGAAATATGAGACAACGTGACTAAATAAATATAAAAAATAAAGAATTGAATGATTTCTACAGCAATTACTTAATTATATGCAATTTTAACGTACATTAGTAAGGTATAAGCATAACTTACAGTAATTTGTAAATAAATACACGTATTCACAGCCATCAGGGACAGAAAACGGGGGCAGGAACATGAAAACGGGAGCCTTATACAAAAACCTGAAAACAGAAAAACAAATTTTTTTATACTAAAATTAACAATGTAAAAATATCAATAGGTATAAAATATAAATATACTGTTTAAAAAAAAGCGTCCATTATTCCCAAAGAGACCTGGTTTATAAATCAAAAAGAGGCAAAAAGAGACTTTTAGTCGAATAACAATCAGATCATTATTGACAATAAATTGCACATACTGGAGATAACTAATGTTGGCTATAGTTAAAAATGATCTTACCTTGCTGTAAATTGTTTCCATTTTCAAAAAAATCGCCGATCATTTTCTTGCATATAAAAAATACAGAAATAGTGTTTATTTACTACCTATCTTTAATATACATGGGACATACCTAGTACTGCAGAAACGTCTTTTTCTCCAGGATTTTTCATCTGATATATATTTTATATGCTTTATTACCTTTATATTTATAAATTTCTGCCGAAATATCAAATTGAATTTGCAAAACAAAACTAAACGGAGAGAATTAAAATGGCGTCGAAATTTGTTCTAGAACAAATCTGAAGTTGTCTCTGAAATCTGTCAATTCTAAACTGTGAAGTTAGACAGAAAACAAATACGTTTAAATAAAATATACGACGGCCTCCCCATAAGAGCAATGAGAGGATTTACGTCCCAGTATTGAAGGAGGACAGAAAATCGAGTCGAATGGTTTCAAGACATAGGTTCATCCTTGTGTAGTCAAACCTCCTACAACACAAGGATAGACTTATGTAGGAAATGCATTGAAGTTCTATAGCCATCCTTCAATATCGGGACAGGAATTTAAGCGGTACCCTCCGTATACTTTATTTTAAACGTATTTGGACAAAAACATTGCTGCCCTTGTCTAGGCGGCCATACTTGTCGTCAGGAGATGACAGGAATGACACTAATGACTTTTCAATTTTCCTATTTCACTGTCACCCCCCTGCCTTGTACCATATATGAGATGCACTTATCTACGACGAGACGGTATACAAACTTTATTGATGGTAACTTTATTGGTGTATAAGACTTTCTTCCTGGGCAGCGAGTATTAACTATAAACTGTGCTCTGGGTCTACAGTTAATTTTCCCTCGATTTTTCCTTCACTTGACTTCAAAAGACACCAAACACACGTAATAACACGAATCAAAATGCATCATCTCCCAAAACGCAGGGTATTTGACATAAGTTGACACAAAATTGTAACCTATAATTTGGCAAGACTTTGACAAGCCTCAAAAAGCTAAAGGCAAGTTCATACGAATCGGTGTTTGTCGTTAATCGTTCCGACAAACCAATAAAATCTGAAATATGATCTGTCATTTTTGAAATAAACCAATAAAACTGGTTAAAAACAACAAGCGACGACGCATGACGGATTTATATTTAAAACCATCCATAGTTAACTTAAAAAATATTAGAAACTTTTTTTGGTAAAATAAATAGATTGGTATGGGACGTCATCTGCTTTTCTTCTGTCATCGTCTGTCGAAATCTTACCTGAGAAAAAAAAACAGAGTATAATCTGACATTTGTAAAAGTGTATTTTAAGGTTTTTTTGGTAAGTTGTTGGATACATTTTTTTTATAGAGGTTCAGCAAGGAGATAGTATCGTGGAGAAGGTTGAACAACAAGAAGAATACACGGTGCACTATGAACAAGAGGTCGAACAGCAGGAAGTTGAATTAATTGAACATGAAGAAGAAACAGAGCATGTTATGGGTAAGTTAGCAATTTATTTATAATGCCATGTGTTACAGATTTTTGCGACCTAAAAAATAACTATAGTTTGTTTTGTCAGGGAACATATGACATTAATCTCATTTTAATTCAAAAGTATAATTTTTCTGTCATTTTTTGGATGTCCTTTGGCAAAATCGTATATTCTTTGACAGGACAGAATGTAATAGATCGAAAAATAATTGTAAAATATGTTATAACATATAACACATATCCCTAATACCTATTCATCTATTAAAACGTTGGACCGATTTTTCAAGTTATTGCGTGTGAATCCATTACACTTCTAAATGATAGAGATTTATTTTGAAATTGTGAAGTGCCAGAAATCCGGTATTTGAATACATTTCATTCGCAAATTAACTCTAGTGCAGAAAGAGTTTCTTCTGATGTCAGGTTATATTTTTATTCCCAAATTATTAAATTGCAAATCTCTTGCTGTAGCAAAACCCGCCTTATCCGCATTATTTTTACGTTTTTTCTCTCTAAAAATTAAATATTAATTTTTATTTCTAGAAAAACGAGATACAAAACAATAACTACTCAATGGGCACGTTTTTTGTAAAGTAGCGCTCAAACATTTGCTAAAACAGTTTTTGCATATTATCTCGAAACAACGTATTTGGGATAAGACAGGTTTTGCAACTTGACGCCTCATATGTATGCTTGGTAACACTTTAATTTTGTTTTTGCTAGAAGACGATGCTCAATGTAAAGTAGTGTCGTCAAATACAGAAGGCGAAGATTACGTTGTTCTACACATGGACAACGAAGTTCAACAACAAGATGTCAGTGTTTCAACGGAATGAATTTTATTTAAAAAAAAATATTTAAAAAAAAATATTTAAAAAACACTTTTTATTTAAAAAAATTCTTTTTTTATTTAAAAAATACTTTTTATTTACAAAAAAACTTTTTTATTTAAAAAAATATTTTTTAAATAAAAAGTGTTTTTTTAAATAAAAAAAATATTTAAAAAATTTTTTTATTTAAAAAAAATATTTTCTTTATTTAAAAAAATATTTTTTTTATTTAAAAATATTTTTTCGTACATAGTTAATATGTTAACTAGTGTAATTTATTATAAGGTATAAGTAAGTGTTTTATTCAGTGACATACAAAATCGATTAACGACTTGCTTAGTTTCAACCAGGTGTAAATAAAGACATTTTTATTTGATCTGCTATGTTTGATTTCTTTAATATGTTAAGACTATTATCTAGGATTGTAAATTATTACTTTGAACGTGCTTTGGTTGGCGGTAGATACTTTTTCTAATCAGTATTTGCATGAATATAATCGGGAAAAAATGCTGTCTGTAGTTTCAATAACTAATTAGAAAGTTGTTAGTTTGTTTACACAACATAAACGGAAGCGTTTAAATTTTTTATTAAATAGTATTTTAGAAGATGAACTAAGTTCGAAAAAGTGCACGTACTTACTGGATAGTTATCGGATTTTGTGATTATGATTGTGATAGGCACATTTGTTTCTTATAAAGAAAATCTTACTAAAAAAAAAACATTTTATTTGTGATAAAGGATTGATTACATTCACAGGTAAAAAACATCAAAATAATTTATTATTATTTTAGATATTAGCCCTATCTACACAACATTTTACATAAGTTACTTTGAAAGATCTAAAAACGAATTGTGAAAGATTGTTTTAAATTCACCCCCGAGAGGGGGTGAAATAAATAAATAAAATTATTTTTTTGAAATTTCGGACAAATGGTAAGGACTAGAAAAAAAAAGTTCAAATAAAAGTTGTAGAGCATCCAATTTTACTTAAAAATGGTCTCTATACTTTTTTGCTCAAATCAAAATTAACCAAGATAGAGTGGCTAGAATCTAGGGGACAGCTTTTATTGAAACTTTTTTTCAAAGTTCTTACCGTTCCTCTGAAATTTGGGAAAAAACACTTTATTTATATTTTTCACCCCGTCTTGGGGTGTATTTAAAAAAATCATAATGGAAATTTATAATTTCCTAAACAAATTGAAGAAAAATGTTAGATATATGAATTTTTCAGCAACTTATAATTGTTTTTAAATTTCTATCATCCCGTAGATTCTCGCCACCCTATCTCGGTTAATTTTGATTTGAGCAAAAAAAATATAGAGATCATTTCTATGTAAAATTTGACGCTCTACAACTTTTATTTAAACTTTTTTTCTAGTTCTTACCGTTTCTCCCAAAATTCGAAAAAATAAATTTATTTATTTCACCCCTTTTCTGTGGTGAATTTTAAAAAATCTTTCATAATTCGTTTTTAGATCTTTCAAAGTAACTTACATATATCAAAGGCCTATTTTCTTGGACTAGTAAGACATTGTGTATAGTAGAAAAAAGGCGGACGTTGTACAGGGTGTCCCATTTTCGTGCATGTGATGGAGTTTCTCGTTTATGAGTAGAGATAGTGGAGTGCTTTAATCCCTTATGGGATACAAACCTCTGAATTCATTTACTGTTAACGAATTTTTATAAAACTTTTTGCATTGTATTGTTAATAAGATATCTTACAAAATTTACCCATTTAAATTCGTTGCTTTCACGTATTCCGAAAAAGCTCTGTATCAGGATTCCTATTTGAGATTTTTACTCCAAACATTTTACAAAATATGTGTTTAATGTTAGACACATTTCAAAAATATTTTTATAGATATACAGGGGGATGAGTCAAATATATATCTATATTTGTTTAGTTCAGTGAATTTGCTATAAAATTCCGGTTCCAAAAATACCTTAATACCATAGAGTATACTACGTGGTTTTTAAATTATGACCACAAACGTGAGGACGTCAACGTCCAGGAACCTTCGTATGAGAAGTTCTAATCGAGACGATCGACTTATTGTAAGTTTATCGCTAAGGAACCGCCGTTTGTCAGCTTTTCAAATTGATAATGAATTGCACTTAAGAAACGTACATATTAACTAACGGACTATAAGAAGAAGATTAAATGAAGCAAACCCTATGCTTCAGGACCAGAACTTACTAGATGTGTTGACTAGGCCCAAAAACAAAGGCATGGTCTTAATGTAAAAATTACGAAAAAATGTTAGTATCTTCTTCAAAAGCGAATATTTCCAACAAAAATAAAGCTAATGAGATGAACCAAAAAACCAAAAACCATCGAGAAAGGATGTATCCAGATGATAAAATGATTTTTAAATTTCTTGTGGTTTTACCATATTCCACAGGGAGTTTCAAACTTTCACCAAAATATCAATATTTTGTTTTCCCGCGTATAATTGACAGATGGGGAGTTCCATTTTTTGGAACCATTTTTCCAACATTGGCCCATTAAAACAAAATATATTAACCTTTAAAATACATCAAAGTTGTATTGTATTTCAAAAACTGTACATTTTAGTCATATACTTTGCTAATGAAACAAACCTTTATTTTTTTATTAGAATCAAAAAACAATTAATATAAACAATTCCATTACAAAAAACATAACTTTGATGTGTAACTTTTTTGGGGGACACCCTGTAGAACTCTACATAATTTTAGAAAATGCTTTAAATTGACTTACATAAGCTCACAAAATTTCACTTCAATACAAACTTTTGTTCTCCTTGCAAAAACCGCGTCGTATATGTCGCGCCACCCTGTATAATTCGATTTCAATCAAAATTTCAATGATTAGTATATAAGCAAAATAGGTATAGCTTATGCATTAGATTTATTTACTTTAATAAATTTATTTAGAAAAAGAATTAAAAAAATCAAAAAATTAATAAGGAAATAATTAAGAATTTACTAAAATTACTAAAATAAAAAATTAAAAGCAACGGAAAAAAATGGGTAAATATTTTAGTATTTTATCTATAAAACACAATACAGAAGGTTTCATATTAATACATTCGCAGTAATTGAATTCCAAGATAAAAGTCTCTGGGAACTCCAATTACTAGGGATTAGAAAGAGCTACTACAACGATATAAACTAAAAAAGAATGTTATCAAGGTTTGGGACGTAGAAAGAACGATTTAGGAAATATCCAGCTTCCAGTTGATTGTACGGCCGTCGCAAGTGCTCAAGCGTCTCCCGTGAAATATCAGCGTCGGTTTGGAGCGTCGCGACGCTTTATCAGTGCGCTCTTAAATTTCTACGAGGGAGCACGTCACTGTGGCATACGGATCTATTTAAAAAATATTTTTTTATTTAAAAAAAATATTTTCTTTATTTAAAAAAATATTTTTTTTATTTAAAAAAATATTTTTTCGTACATAGTTAATATGTTAACTAGTGTAATTTATTATAAGGTATAAGTAAGTGTTTTATTCAGTGACATACAAAATCGATTAACGACTTGCTTAGTTTCAACCAGGTGTAAATAAAGACATTTTTATTTGATCTGCTATGTTTGATTTCTTTAATATGTTAAGACTATTATCTAGGATTGTAAATTATTACTTTGAACGTGCTTTGGTTGGCGGTAGATACTTTTTCTAATCAGTATTTGCATGAATATAATCGGGAAAAAATGCTGTCTGTAGTTTCAATAACAAATTAGAAAGTTGTTAGTTTGTTTACACAACATAAACGGAAGCGTTTAAATTTTTTATTAAATAGTATTTTAGAAGATGATCTAAGTTCGAAAAAGTGCACGTACTTACTGGATAGTTATCGGATTTTGTGATTATGATTGTGATAGGCACATTTGTTTCTTATAAAGAAAATCTTACTAAAAAAAAACATTTTATTTGTGATAAAGGATTGATTACATTCACAGGTAAAAAACATCAAAATAATTTATTATTATTTTAGATATTAGCCCTATCTACACAACATTTTACATAAGTTACTTTGAAAGATCTAAAAACGAATTGTGAAAGATTGTTTTAAATTCACCCCCGAGAAGGGGTGAAATAAATAAATAAAATTATTTTTTTGAAATTTCGGACAAATGGTAAGGACTAGAAAAAAAAAGTTCAAATAAAAGTTGTAGAGCATCCAATTTTACTCAAAAATGGTCTCTATACTTTTTTGCTCAAATCAAAATTAACCAAGATAGAGTGGCTAGAATCTAGGGGACAGCTTTTATTGAAACTTTTTTTCAAAGTTCTTACCGTTCCTCTGAAATTTGGGAAAAAACACTTTATTTATATTTTTCACCCCGTCTTGGGGTGTATTTAAAAAAATCATAATGGAAATTTATAATTTCCTAAACAAATTGAAGAAAAATGTTAGATATATGAATTTTTCAGCAACTTATAATTGTTTTTAAATTTCTATCATCCCGTAGATTCTCGCCACCCTATCTCGGTTAATTTTGATTTGAGCAAAAAAATAGAGATCATTTCTATGTAAAATTTGACGCTCTACAACTTTTATTTAAACTTTTTTCTAGTTCTTACCGTTTCTCCCAAAATTCGAAAAAATAAATTTATTTATTTCACCCCTTTTCTGTGGTGAATTTTAAAAAATCTTTCATAATTCGTTTTAGATCTTTCAAAGTAACTTACATATATCAAAGGCCTATTTTCTTGGACTAGTAAGACATTGTGTATAGTAGAAAAAAGGCGGACGTTGTACAAGGTGTCCCATTTTCGTGCATGTGATGGAGTTTCCCGTTTATGAGTAGAGATAGTGGAGTGCTTTAATCCCTTATGGGATACAAACCTCTGAATTCATTTACTGTTAACGAATTTTTATAAAACTTTTGCATTGTATTGTTAATAAGATATCTTACAAAATTTACCCATTTAAATTCGTTGCTTTCACGTATTCCGAAAAAGCTCTGTATCAGGATTCCTATTTGAGATTTTTACTCCAAACATTTTACAAAATATGTGTTTAATGTTAGACACATTTCAAAAATATTTTTATAGATATACA